AGCGGTTCACTGAACACGCAAGTACATGAAGTATGGCTGCAGTGAAAGCAAATGCCAGATCAGAAGGGGGAGAATTTTAGTAAAAGCTGATAAAAGAGAGACATAGTTACACTTTCGATCCTTATTTCAACTGCTTTTTATAGCTATCCTGCTAGCTTCACTCTCTGGCTGACTGTCCCCTGACATTTCTTGTTAATATTAAGAGTGAGAAGAGGCAGTAATAGATCCTGTCGTCTCCTGAATACAAGCGTGCAGGTCTCTCTCTTGTACAACTCTGCTTTTACTAAGCCTCGAAGAGAGACATAGTTACACTTTCGATCCTTATTTCAACTGCTTTTTATAGCTATCCTGCTAGCTTCACTCTCTGGCTGACTGTCCCCTGACATTTCTTGTTAATATTAAGAGTGAGAAGAGGCAGTAATAGATCCTGTCGTCTCCTGAATACAAGCGTGCAGGTCTCTCTCTTGTACAACTCTGCTTTTACTAAGCCTCGCTTCCCTAGCACCATAGTTCCTATTCCAAGCAGCTTCTACAACTTAATTTAACAAAAAAGCTGCAAAAGCACGCATTATTTATTCAAGACATAACAAATGATAGAGGAAGAAGACAGAAGCTATCTTCTTCCAGAATTATTTACATATTTGCCACTGGAAGAGGTATTATCCTCCAAAAACCCCATGTTGCAGAAAGCATGAAGTGTAGTTTGAGCCAAATTCCAGTCTCCCCTCTTAAACATGCAACCAAGATGTCAGAGAATTCCTGTCTTTTTCCCTGTGGTAACAAAGGTCCCAATCCGACTACACATGAAACGTGCACTCCTCTTAAGTCTCCCTGAATTACAAAATATTAAGCATTTCTTAAAAAATAGGCCCAGAAATAACAAAAAGACACTTAAAAAATATTTCGGCATTCATTAAAAATACCTTATTCCTTTAAGCAGCATGAAGAACTCCCTGCTCAGAATATTTTGTCCCCATACATTTATTTCTAGACTTCATCTCTGCTATCATTCAACAGGTGAAACAATACTTGCATGCGTGTTATTTCACATTAAGCTGCTGTACTTACTAGTTTTACTCTTCTTTTTGTTGTTCACAGAAGATTTGTGACTTCTTTTCTGCTTTTTTGCAGAGCTGCCTCCTCCCTGAGCATCTTTAAGTCTTTTTTGGCCTGTACAGACTATAATTGAAAGAAAGAAACATACAAAAAAAATAAATAAATACTTGCACTTCTGTGTGTGCACTTCTCAACCATAACATCTTAAAAAGCCAAAAAACAAAACGAATCATACACCTCAGAGCTTAAGTTTGTAGACAACTGTCCCTGTCTATCCTTAACGGGGTTCAGTTTTCCATTTATATTGTCAAGAAAAGGTGGAGGAGGGAAAGCAGACAAAGTTTGTTGACTGAAGTACATAAATAAGATGATTGCAAATAACTTTCTCATATGCATCACCAGAATTTGTCTGATCACATGGACTTTTTAAATATAATTTTATATTGTAAGTTAAATTGGAATATATTTATTTGAAAAACTTAGGGAATCATTAGAACTGAATAAAGTTCAGTGGAAATAAAGCCTCTGCCGCACTTGGAAGCTGTGAAAAAAACTGAAACTAACATTTGTTATCAGTAGTTACACTAATTGAGTGTCCAAAAAATCTAGAACTGAGATAACGATAAAAAAAGTCCACAATCAGCCGTAAAAAAAAACCAAAAGAAGGAAGAAGTCTACTGCTTTTTGTGACTACAAGGAAAAAAGTACAAGAGGAAAATCACGTTTTTAGCTTCACTCATAGGAAATAGAAGAGGAAAAAAATTCCAGTAGTTTGCAAATAGGAATTGTTCAAGTTTACACTCACACAACCTCCTGACTTACAGATGAAAATGACTCCTGTAACAAAATCATGTAAAGTAAGATACAATAAGACAAGACATTGAACTGTTCTTTTGAAAGGACGTAACAAAAACAGAATGATGATGATAACACACCCTAGAGGTACTGCGATTGAGAAAGTTTTCAGTTAATTACTTTTTCTCCTCAAGAGAACCGAAATCAGTTGAGACGAAGAAATCACTTTCGTCATCTCAGGATTACACTCAGACATAAACTTTCTTCTTTTGGATTAATAATTTTTTAGACAGATCAACACGGTAAAAATAGCTATGCTTTTCATGGGAACTACCTAACAGCCAGAGAATCTCGCAGAAGCTTTTTGGGCCCAGCCTTGCACATCACTAAAAGGCAGCCAGTCCATTGATGTCACATAGACAAGCGCTGGCAGGACTTGGGACCACTAGAGTGGAGTGAATAATAAGGGCCAAGACGGGGCCTTCAAAAACAACCTACAAAAACATATCTGAAAGTGAAAACCCATTTGTGAGTTAGGCAGGAAGGGGTGAAGACACCCCCCCAGCCTCTAACCCTTATCTATTTTTAAGACTTAAAATGGTTTGAACTTTATTTCCACAACATACTGAATTATAAGCATGACCTACAGTAAATATATAAAACAAAAAAGTGAAATCTAGAAATCGCAATATGGTAATTTTATAATGGAAAAAGCTGACAAATAACAACAGATTCAGAAACTCAAAAGGAAGTATCTACATTTTTAGCTAGAAATAGTACTAAGATACTTCTCAACTCTTCAATTTAGTCAATAAAACCTGTGATCAAATTCTTGTGAATCATGAATGTAAAACAGCGAACCTTTCCCTTCAACATTGAAAGAAGGAGTCCTAAAAAAAAAAAAAAAAAAAAAACCAGCAAGTTTCTTAAAGCTGATACAAGGTAGCCAGATTTAGAAAGCACTTTGAAATTGTTGCCTAAGGAAGCAATAATTGGCACTTGATTTTTCCAAATCATCAGCATAAAGAAAAATCAAAATTTTACCTAAGAAACAGTATCTTCCACTTGCAAGCAAGGTGCTTTAAAGTGTATGCAGCCTGCTACAACATATATTCCCTATACGATGCATTAGAGCTTACTCTGGTCTTTCATTGTCCTTTCCAATATAAACTTCATTCTTATATGCTTTATTCCTCATTAAAAGCACTAGAATTCTTAGCAAAAGGCCACGGAAAGTTTCCTGGAAGATTATCTTTTATTCATCTGATGATTATGTGGTTTCCATACATTTGAAGTAGACAGCAGGCTACTATTTCCTCCAATAGTATTAACTAACGTGTCAGTAGTGTAACGGTAACAATGCAAATACATCACAGCAAATGAGAGCTAGGTCTAGGTGGAAAATAGCTCTGTTTCCCCATTCCCTTTACCTTTTTCAGAATGCTCTGGCTGATTACTACTACTGGAGCTGACGCTGGCATCAAAACCTGTTGGAGAAATATTTCCCTCAGACTGCAGGTCTTGCAGCTCCCCTGCAACGCTATCCACCTCTATTGTGCTATCAGTTTCACTTTTAATGCTTCGTATCTCTTCTTGATTTGGCGGTAACATCTCAGAGACAGTGACACTGGATTGATGTCTACTGGATTCCGTTACGGTTACAGATGAAGGTGATTCAGGTGTTGTAGGAGGAGTATTTAGCACTGAATTACTCCCACTGCTCGGAAATTCAACTTTCTTTTCACCCATTTCAGTTGGTTTCTCCTCAACAGGTTTAACGTCTACACTAGCTGGCAAAGGTTTTTCAAGTTCAGAGCTAGGCAAAGAAACATCTTCTTCTGCAAGAGTCTGAAGCTGCTCCTCTGCTGCAGTGTCCTCAGCGGCAGCGTGTGGAGGGGAGGCAGCAGCTTCAGTGTCGGAATCTGAGAACAGTTCCTTCAGTGTTTTCTTTGGCCATTGTCCCTGAATACTTGACCAGACATCTTTTCGATCCTTAGCTCTGGTATTCTGAAGTCTTTCATCAGAGTTATTTAGAAGCTTTATCCTTTTCTCTGCTACTTCAGAAAATCCTGAGTAGAAAGTACTTGTCCGTAAAGACTTCCTTTTCTCCTCTAATCCATTGTACTTTTTAGTGGGAGTGATTTTCAGTTTAGATTTGTCCTCCTCGTCTTCATCTGAGGAGCTGTTACTGCTGTTTTCTAAACTAAGGGAGTCTTTGCTTTTGGACTTCTCATCCTTTCTGTTAGGTGACACAGTCTTTAAAGATTCCTCTGCAACGCAGTATCTTCGTTTACCACGTTTTACCTGTGTTTTTGCTGTTTTATCAACTATTTCCTTTTTTACCTCCTTTCTCTTCTTTGCGGTTTCATCTTCTCCATCAGAGTCAGTATCTTCAGATAATTCTTCCAGCTCTTTTCGCAGTCTTTCTGGAGACTTGGATCCTGACTTGGGCACTACTACATCTGTCAGAGCTTTAGTTTCCTCTGGGAGGGATGAGTTGCTCTGTTCTTCCTTCAGACAGAGTTCATTTTTATCTTGGCTCATAGCGTCATCTTGAGATTCCTCTTTGCCATCAGCATGTACATTCTGGGCACTTTGGTCATCTTCCTGCTCACTATCATCAGAACTTTCAGAAGCTAGTTAAAAATAAATCCAAGAAAACACAAAAAATACTTTGTTTTGATTCTGGTTACAAGCAATACCAAAAAACAGCTGAAGAAAAATGCACAGATATGAACCAATGCTACTGAGATTTCTAGTAGGATATATATTTTTAAACTGCATGCTATAAAGACTTCAAAGGTTATCTCCCGTTCTATGAGAAGGTATAATAGCTAGATTAGGAGCAGTGTCACCGAGTTTGGAATCTCAGTATTATAAAGCACATCTCTCGGAAATCCTTCCAAGGAGTTTCCCAGGCAGAAAACGCATATAACCACAGCTTTCATCTAAGTGACATTTTATTAATATATACAAATGTGAACTTTCTGCATAACAGAAACAAAGACAGAAATTCAAAGAAGCGTTTAATATAATAAAACTTAATGTTTCTTATGAGTTACAACATACATGTACTAACTGCCCTTTCTCCAAACCTCAAAACACAGACTAAGAAAGAACTTTCCTTAAAGAATCCCTAATGCAAAAGGACACAATAAAAACAAATACACAGGATAAGGTGTCAAACAAACCAGACTGGTGACCAGCCTGGAAAAAAAAAAAAGAGGCAGTAAACAAAGGTACTTGGAGAAATATATGAATAATAAGAGTGTAGATTACAGTAAGAAAACTCAAGGCCAGGAAGGAAGAAACCGAGAAAAGAAGAACAGAGATATGATGAAGAAAGAATCAACAGCAGGCCCATCCAACAGGAAAAGAAACGGATACAAGGAGTGATAAGAAGTGGCTCAAATATATTAGTAGCTCCTTTTATAGCCCATTTTTGGTGGTGTAGCCAGTTTAACACCCTTCATGCCACCTCCTAGCTCTCATTTTCAATTCCTCACTAAAACTTACCACCTCCTTAAAGAAGATAATGTAATTAAAGGGAGAGAAGAAAGGCAAAACTTTCGAATGAGATGATTAAAGTTAAATTAACCATTTTAGTCTACTGAAGTACAACAAACTTAGAGAAGAGCATGCTAATACATAAGTGAGAGTTACATCACAGAACAACTTGGAAAGTGCTTCCTTAGGTGTTTTGTTTTTTTAAGATAGGCAGGATCTGAATTTCTACTCTAACACTCAATCAGAAAGCAAATTTTACATCCCTCTTTCAGTATGCATTTTTCTTTTTAACTTAAAGAATCAAGGGACATATTATGGCCTAAAGTTCCAAGAAGTCTGTCACTTAAAATGAACTTCCAAGACTTGTCTTTCTCATAATCTTAAGAGCATCATAACTACACTACTATGTAATAAAGAAGGTACCAAAATTGGCTGTTAGAAATGAAAATCAAGAACTCTGTGTTAAAAAAAGTGTAACCAAGACTCACGTCTATTAATTTTCCCTCTCAACCTATTTATTTTACTTGTAACATTTAAAGGAAAGTTTAGGTAACATACAATAGCGTTAATCATTCCAGTGTAAGAAAAAGACCTTTAAAAAGTCTTAAGCAAACAGTTCTAAAATTGGGAGGGGGAGGGAACACAAACATAGTAGTCTTCCGTATTTTCTTAGTTGAAAAAAAGTACATGGTCCTAATCAACAGCGTGAATGTACACGGACTAAAATGACAGAAGAATGGTACACAATTAAAAGCATTTCTAGAAACTAATTATGTAACATAGAAAACATTTAGCCTTCCAAACATTAGAGGGTATATGTCAAATTGCTTTTGCAATCAGAAGTTAACAACAGATTAATTAGAGCAGTAATAACAGTGCCATTATCTCCACTAAGTGTTTTTTGGTTTCTGGTTTCCTAAGAAAATGAAACCTAAGAGATTATGCTGAAAGCAATAATTTTGGCCACATTTAAATAAATGTCTGGAAGATTATTAAATCCTTATAACTCTCACAAAAACTGGTGGTTACCCAGACTGCCTATATCCTATAGAGTTTTTTTCCAGGAGGCACATAGGGAACTAAGGAAGAAGAAAGGCAACTAGTTATTATAGTGCTGACAAAAAAAGTGTGGGAATGAAAAAAAAAGTTAGGAACAAGACAGGAAATCTAGCTTTATTATTCCCTTTCTTCACGAAAAAGAAAGCTTTGTCAGATTCCAAAAAATCACATAGATCAAAAATTCAAAATTTTGGAACTAACAGAGGAAGCAAAAAAGCCTTGCTGGGCACAAACAAACAAAAGCAAAAAACCCCCACACACCACAAACAAAAACCCTGAATCTACAATACCTATTTTCAAAAAAATGTAAACTGCTTATATATAAAGGGTAAGAGTATGTATAAAGGCTTCTGAAGATGATGTAATACAATGAAAGAGATGCATAGCCAGACTCAAAAGCATACAACAGCATCAGTTGCTCTACACTGACGCTTACTACTGGTGAAAGGCTATTCACAAAATTAGAAGAAGTTTAGGTACAATACCTTGTAGCCCATTAAGGATAGAAGTAATTTCTATAGATTTAACTGGAGCTTGTTCAGAACTTTTGGCTTCTGTGCTATCAAGTTTGGACCCAGTCTCTGGTGATGCGCTGGTGTGAAAGGGTGGTTTTGACAAACGTCGCAATTTACAGTTTTTAGGAGAGTACTTCTCGTCCTTCTCTTTGTCAGTTTTATTCTACATTAAAGAAAAGTTAAAAATTCTTGTCATTTGAGCATACAAATTAACATAGACTACAATTAAGCAATGGTGATAGTTACCCTCATCATCAAATCTGAAAAGAAAAGCTTTCTTCTTTGTTCAAGAGTCCACAACTACCTTTCCGGATCTATGCTGAGGCTCTTACACCAGAGACGGGAATTACCTCAACACTAGTACAAGTCTGAAAGGGGAGACTGCCAGCACCCTAGGAGCGAAGGCCAAGCGGCAACAGGCAGGACAAGGTCTGTGACACCCCTGTTCTGTGAGCTGGCCCCGGGCTCCGGAACGCCTGCCCACTGGGCCGGCAGGTCCACGGTGTGCAGGGGAGAGCTCCAGCACCGCAGGCAGGAGCGAGAAAAGTCTCCTTGAATCCTGCTGCCCAAAGCAAGTATCATAATCTGACCCTAAACATCACTTAAAAACCAAACCAAAACAAAAAGACTTCAAAGAAAAAGAAAGGGGATGAAGGGAATTAAAATATATATAACATGGACACGGATTAGTCATTGGTTCGTTCTCCAGAATCAGCAGAGGGAGCTCACAAACGCTGCTGTCCGGAGTTGGGCTGCCACCACCGCTGCCGAAGTGGATCCATCCAGTTTGTTTCCTGCTAGTACATAACTTAAATCCCAAGGGAAGAAAAGAAAGGCTCCCCCACCCCCAAAGTAAAAGAACAAAACTATGCTGAAAAAAAGTTTATTTACTTTTAAAAGGCTAAGAGGCAGTCATTTTTATTGTCGTGTATGTTCCAAGGTCTATCAAAAGGCTTACAAGTGCCTGTGGGGAAAGTATGTAAAAATACGTTACACCAAAGCTGACTACAGGGGTGGGGATGAGGGGGGGAAAAAAGAAGAGAAACTACCTTTATTTTCTTTCGATGCTTAATTTTTGGCACATTTTTATCAGCTGGTCTCACTATCTTGTCTGCCTTTATCCATTCATCATACCTAAAAGCAAAAAAATTGAACACATTTAATGTTTTAAAGCAAACATTCAAAATATCATAGAAGAAAATTAACAGCGAATTCAAAAGTATTAAACATATACAAATAGGACTGGAACTTAAATAAAGTCATTGATATACTTTTCAGTATGTAGAGTTACAGCTAATATTCAGTTCTTCATATGCTTAGATATATAGGACAAAGTTTTCTTAACTGATTGGCATAAGGCAAGGCTGGTATTTTGTAAAAGTCTGGATTGAACAACATGAAATCCATACACATTAGGTGAAACAAATTATCAAAAAGATAATTCTGTATGGATCTCTAAGAGGTGTATTTTGTACATACACTGTAAAATATTATCAGTACATTTTTAACAACTACATAGAATGCGACTAGTTAACCAAAAATAAACTCTTTCCAGTACAATTGTTTCTAAAGTGATCTTTTGAGTCACTAACATTTTGGGAAATGGTCACTTTTCAATTAGTTTTTAATTAGTCTTTCATCTGACATCAGAAGATACAGCAGCTGTCTTATCTCCTACAGCTGGATATATTCTTAGTAAGAATATCCTTTAACTATGGAACTGTACTTACTAATTTCACTGTGCACTTCAAAACTCAAGAATCAACTTTTTTATAAGCATAATTTGCTGTCCTGTTTCAAATGTGAATTCAAATAGTTGTCTGAATAAGAAGCAAGTCTGTTAAAAATTAGCATACGTTAACTTGTGCCTCAGTGGGCAGCCACATATAAATTGTGAGCTCGCTATGTAATGAACCAAGTACTCGCAACCATGCTAGCCTTCCAGGTGGACTTAAGGCACCATTATTCTGATGCACAATGACTGCTGATACAGTCCCAATTCAGTTTCTTCGCAACCACTGCCAATTGTATCTATAATACCGAATGATAAATTTAAAAGGATTATTCAGGAAAAATTGTAGGCGTCCAACTTGTTTTTGTTTTACTCCAAGTCAAGATCTAAAAACCAGATTCCAGAAGCTACATACTAATTTTACTAACTTGCATTTCACATAACACAGTGAAGAATGGACACCTCAGAACACAGCACAGACAAGAGGAGTCAAAGTTATCCATTCAGTCTAGCAGTAGTCTCTAAAATTCAGGTTTCCAAAATAATTCCATGTTGCAACAACAAATCAACCACAAAAACGTTATCACCATCTAACCTGTCAGACTGCAATACCCCGAAAACTAACTATATTGCTGCAGGTAGTTTTAATTGTACTGCTACCAGGTTACTGGTAAGTGGATAGGCTCAGATTTCTCTTTAAAACTTGAACAGAACTCTTCAGTGCTACGCCTGCTAAGAGAAGATTCATAATCATAGTGGTTTCCAGTCAGAGCTGTCAGCTCATAAATTGTGAAGTCTGAAACACATCCCTCCTTTATGCTTCAGGACTCCCTTCAGAAAGCAGGTAGCCTCACATATCCGAAAGCACAGGGCCTCCAACAACCAACCTCATACACATAAATAATAGCCAGCAGTTGCGAGCTTGTTGCAAAAGGGATAAGCAGGAGAGCATATGATGGGAATATACTCCAAGACGAGTACCCTCACTGGGCTGCGGATGATGCCCTTCACAGGGGAAGTAGTGGAGACCTGCAAGGCTCCCAGTGTGCGTCCTCTTACCTGTAACAAAGTACATTCAATAGCTGGCCTGCTTTATGCCCGCTTTGCCACTGGAATAGGGCTAGCAAGCTGCGTTTCCTCCCACACCACAGCTGCTTCCTAAAGACTGGGGTGCACTCAGGTTCTTATGATATGAATGGACAGGGAAGGGATGACTGATGCAGCACCTCAGGATTTTAGATACTTGGACTTCAAATCTGGTGTCTGCTATTTAAAGCATAAAGAACATCTAGATGGACTGCTCCATGTGGTTTTAAAATAAGGCATCAGATTTGATAAGGAAAATTCCTGTACTCCGGTACTTTTGACAACCCTATTTCAAGTAATCTTTCTTCAAATCAAAGGCCTGTTTTCAGGAAGGAACACTGCTAAGTAGAATGCCAAATGGACTTTGCGGTTTAGATAAATGCAAGAGGATTTCCTTAGACCTAAATACATGCAGGACAACAGCAGTAGGATTAGACATTCACAGAGAAAAGCAATTATTCCAAGTATCCTTTCCATCTCAATTACGTTGCCATAATAGAGAATCTGTGTTCACTGATTCTATGCATTTCTAACAACAGAACAATCTTCTACATATGCAAACAAAGTCTGTGCATTGCACATACTGTCAATGATTCAGGATAATTGCACTGCCAGTTAGGGTGACAGCTGATAGGACTACGGCACATACTGAAGTGAAGGAGAGAAGCAAGAGCAGAAGCATAAAAGAGTCTCTAGATACCATTAGGGTCCTAAAGGTTACATATATGAAGCAGTGTTCACAACTCCTCATCTTAAGGGGAACAAACAGAAAACCTACGTGTCTGAGAGTCACAGTTCCCAGCCCCAGCACGTCCTGCTCCGCTCCTGACTGTAGCTAGAACAGCACTCTGATCCTGCTAGGAGCGCCAGCATCACAGAAACCTTGAATCCGCTCTGGGGAATCAGGCGCCCACACTTCACGCCTTTGTACGGCACAGCCTCCTTTCATCACTCACACGTGAGATTCATACAGTTTGCCTAATCTGTGACAATAGAGCCCCATGCCCCAAAAGACCCTGCAAGAAGAGATACATCCCAAGCCACAGCCGACAATCTGACCAAAATATGACGCTGCTCTACTGCACAACAGAGAAATGCCTTGATACCTGGAGAGTGCACCATGTGCCAAGCTGCATCTGAATCACATGAAAGACTCGAGACTACTGTCCTTCCCTATAGGACTGCACCTGATTAGAACAGCAAAATGGAAGTTTTTCTCACTTCATAACTAATGGTGCTTTAGACAATCTGTTCACAAAGCAAAAGAAAAACAGGAAAAACATGAAAAAAAAAGTTCAGTTCTCATTACAAGGAACACATGCTTCCAAAAGACCTGGGCTGTTTTACTGCAGTACCATCTTCTGCCAAGCCCTTAGCTTCCACACTTTTTACCTCATAAATATGACCTATTTCTCAAACCCCCTGCTAAAGGCACATATGTATACATATACATACACAGACACATAATATGTATGCTTCTTGAATCAGTACCAGATACTGTATCAGAAACTAGTAGGTACGTAAGATTAAGTACACCGAGCATATGTCCCGAAAGAAAAATTCGGGTTTTTGGCAAGCAGCTCTAGTTCTTCCACGTTTTCTAGGTCCAGGACGCGGATTTGTGGGAAATTCTGAACTTAGGATTTCTGAGAGGGAGATGTTATGAACATATATACAAAATAAAAAATTATAGACATACAAAATTAATATTAATATAACAAACACTTTTAGACAGACGGAATATGACACCTCAAAAGCCATGAGAGCTCCCTGGGAGTGAACAGGTCATAAGTACCTATCTGAATAAGACAGCACAGGTATCTGCAGAATGCAGTATCTAGACATGCAATTTTTGATGACAATTTCTTCTGTAATTTGACTCCCTAAAACAAGCACTGGGTGCTGGGCAGGGAGAGGAGAGGGAAGAGGGAAGAGACATGTTCCTAAATGCATTTGTACAAACTTGGTTTAGTACAAAGAGTAAGGTTAAAAAAAAAAAATTAGGTTTCATAAAAACTATAACACCTTGAGAAAAAACATCCCCTTCATCTTACCAAAATAAAGACATGGGTGAGCTAGGAAGGAGCGAAGCTTTTCTGCTTTACTGGTTAAAAGGAAAGTTTACCGGAAAGGTGGGTTCAAATGGGAAGGAAGGAAGAAGGAAGGCTGGAACGCTCAGTTATATAGTGGAAACAAGTAATCGGCAACTTGTATATAAATATAATAGGATTAGTGTATATTCCTATGCATTGACCACAAGTTAGAACAAACTACAACATTCTCAGAGACAGCATGATCAATCCTCCATGAGAGTATTACAGGAGAAACAAGGAAGAAAAGTATATTTTTCCAGCCTCTAGGGCTGTACTAGCAAAGGTACTACTTTCTCCACTTTCAAGGAAGGGAGCTGACCTCAAGGAACTAGCAAACTTTGGCAAATTCACTGAAAAGTTCCAGCACACTGTCTGCATCTGCTAGCAAGAACTCAAGTGTTTTCACCAGTTGTGATCAAACAAAGCAGTTTTAGTCTAATAACTACATACTAGACTAGTAAATGAGGACCCTGATTTTTCATAATCCTTCCTCCATTACTCAAGGCACCTGAAACTTGGCTACCTAAGTTCCTTTAATTTCAGGAGCTGACTGTTAAGTACAGAACTTGTACACTTCAAACAACTGAGAGAGAAACTAACACTTTTTCCCATCTAGATTTCTGAAGGAAAAAAAAATATTTATATCTATCTATCTATCTATATATATATAAAAGAATGAATCGGTTATTTTTAAACAACTTAAACTTGTTCTGAATATTCACCCTCTGATTCTAGTTACCAGGAATGCACTGCAGAAGAAATTCACCTCAAAAAACCTATACAGTAAACTTTCCCTTAAAGCACTGGCAGCTGAAAAACAAAATTACGACAGAAGGAACTGGCATTGTAGGTCCCAGAGAAGTTTCAGTTACAGATAAAGCACACAAAATTCAGAATGCAATTGAGCCAGTTAGAAGGAAAAAGCAATATAATTGCTCTCTAGAGAGCTTTCTCGTTAACATGTGATAACATAAACAGTTTTCTCTAATAAGGGAGACATTTTTACCATTCCTTTTCATTACAAAGCAGACTCCAACTCCACGTTTCAGTCCTTGACCTTTATCAGAAACGCTTTTCACTTGAATCTCAGGAGCTAACAAGGTCCTTCAGCATAAAGTAGTACAAATACACAATACAGTTAAACTCTATTCCATTTCTGTATTTTCTAGCTACTATTAAAAAAAAAAAAAGATGATGTTTGACAGTGGTTAGTTGCACTGGTTCTAGAGAGTTAAAAGAGAAATAAAAGAAAAAGTAGCAAAGCTAAATAAGTCCAAACACCCCATTACACACACTTATTATTCTGAATCTCTCACCAATACTAAAGCTATAAATCATGTAATTTGAATTAAATAAATTGGCCACATCTAGCACAGTCCAAATGATTTCCAAAGCTAAATCTCAACCACTGATAGCTTTTTTTTTGGTGAAGAATCCTTGTCTGCTAGCACCTTTCAGAGGGCTCCTTTCGCACCTCGGGTAAGAATATAAACACAAGTCCTGATGCCAGAAAGACCAAACAATTCCCTCCACCTCTCAAATGAACGCAAGCTTAAGGAAAGAAAAAAAAAAAGGCATTTTTAGTAAAATCAAACATATCCTACTCGCAAAAAAGCAGTATTTCTAATATCTATCTGCATATTTAAAATATGGGGCGGGGGGGAACACAATCTTGATTTCTCCCTTAACAATGAGGATGCTTGGATCTCCAAGATGAAGGCTCACTTTTGACTTCTCAGCTCTTCTAAGAATTGATACTGCGCAAACAAAACTCTGATCCTCTCATTTCATAGCATATATTTAATAATATTAACTTGAAAATAACTAGGTTTACATATGAATTCCAAAACAAGAGATTAAAAGCAAGAAACCTCTTTGAATTATACACAGTGATCATCCACAAGCAAGGTGCAAGTTTTTAAATCAACCTATGCACCTAAGGCAAGCAAGCCTTCCCTGGCAAGGACCAAGATACATGCCACATTCCCAGTCCTACCTAGAGTGGGCTGCATCTCCCCTAGCATCCCGACATTTTAAGGCCCAGACTTCACAGCCCACTATGCTTAAAAAGGTTGCCAGAAGACAGTGTACGTGAAAAATCATCTCTCTATAGATCAATATGTTTAAATTCCGCACGAGATTGATATCAAAACCATCAATACCGAGATGTTATTCCTCAGCAGTGGCTTAGGTGGTCCTGGAAATCAGAAGACCTAGATGCAAGTGGTGTATTCAAGGGAGGGAGAGAAGCATCATGGTTTTTGCAACTGTGATCTCTGCCAGTCGATCTTGCTAGCACTGAATAAGGACTTGTCCTGCCCTCTTGGTCAGAGGTAGGATGGTAATCAAAGTCCAGATGATGAAGGTCCTAAAGAGCCTCAGATTTTCCAGGAGAAAAAAGGAAATTCCCCCCTTTTTTTTTTTTAAAAAAAAAAAAAAAGAAATGTACAAACTCAGTAATAACACAAAGTTCAAAAGATGACAGCTGAGAACAATGAGCAGAGATGCACTGAAACTGGGGGAAAGAAAGAAAAAAGGCAAGGGCGGGGGCAACACACTTAGTAATTGGCTTAAAAGTCACTCAGAAGCTTTAGTGTCCTTTATGGTTTTTCAAGTTCCTTCAAGTTTTCTATAGGTCATAAGTGGCCAAAATATATTAATACTTCAACATATGTCTACTAATGCTATACTAAAGACATTTTAAAGCATATATTCCTAAATACATTAAGAATAGCATAAGAAGCTGCTGGACTAAAGAGAGTCTTGTTTGGAAGCCTGAGACAGCTCAGGGCGGGATGGGGGCGGATTTTAAAAAAGAATCCGATCTGAATGAAATGTAACTACTTGCTGCACACCAATCTGCCCTGAAGAACCTTGAGGAAGTCTGAGGGTGAAGATTTTGTTTGCTTGTTTTTAAGTGTGGCTGTCCAACAAGAAAAAAAAAAAACAAAATAAAACCAAAAAAAAAAACAACCCCCCCCCCCCCCAAAACTGATGTCTCCCTCATACTTCTCTTGGTAAATGCCAAACTGCTACTGTACTCTGTTGTCCCAAGAAGAGTGTGCATATAGATTCAGTTTAGCAAACTATTCAAATATTGTATGAGATAAAATTGGCTTAAGAGAGCCAGAGGGGGACTTTATCAAAGAGTGGGCTGCCACTTGTTGTATGGAGAGATCTAAAAATAGGATCGAGAACAAAGGAAGACTGCTTTGGATAAGTCATTTTAAGATGATTTTCTATGCAACTAGAGTACTGCATTTATATAGGTTAAAAATCTAAATAGTTTCATACAGTACAATGATAATGACCTTCACAGAACATTAATACTGAAAGCTTAGGACTCCAGAACTCTATATTCATTTAGTTTTTAAAATACACTTGTGTATTTTAGAAGTAATTCAAGAAGTAATCACTAGCTAAAACTCAAGTTACCTCACATTCCATCCACAGTAGTGCACCAAGTAAAGGACTTCTCCACCTTCGATGTCAGAATCTTTAATACTAGCTTCATACATTTTTTGATTTTTCCCTCTTCCATACCGCACTTGGACTTTCATGCCTGGTGGATAGCATTCAAACTCTTCTTCCTCATTGTTATTGTTGTCTTCTTCCTCCTCCTCCTCCTCTTCCTCCTCCTCTGCTTCTTCTTCATCTTCATCTTCTTCCTTATTCGTGTCATCTCTTGAAAGGTTTAAAAAATTGTAGAGTTAATATGAGATACTTCATAAGCTTTTCAGTTCCAAACCACATATATTGATAAATATTGTGGATGCATTAGAGACTGGGAAACAGCAGGCTCCAAATATGTGAAACTGCCTATGCGCGAATATCATCAGCAAAATAGGATATAGCAATATACACAAAATCCAGTGACTGTAAGGTGCAAAAGTGACTTGGCTTTAAAAAAAAAAAAAATTCCATGAGAATCTGTACGAGCAGCTGTTGTTCAAACTCATCTTTATATGATCCTTCATGCAGTCCCTTTGCTTAAATACCATTTCTCCAGTTCAAATTCATCCTTCTCAATATAGAGAAAGTTTCATACATTCCATTTTTTGACATATAAGTTTTACAAATGCTTCTTGAAACTTGCTTCCCCAAAAGATCCATGCTCTTTTATAATCAATTGTCTCTATCTCAACACTTTGAGGTAACTGCAGCTAAAAGCAGATTTTAGGCAAAAATACCCTATGCAAGACTGTTTAAAAAAAAAAAAAAAAAATCAAGCAATGTCAGTACTAATTTATGACCTTGCCATTTCTTGCCAATTATGCTAAAAGTCTTCTAAATATAAATCAAAGATGCATTTAATTATTGTATAAATACACAAGCAGGTGTTGACTGTTTTCAAAATAAGCTAATTCTGAATGCATCTTCAGACATTTGGAACAATTTTCAGAAGCATTAAGCACCCACGAGTCTTGCTGACCTCAGTCAGTGGCAGCTGCGGGCTGCTCAGCAGTTCTGAAAAAAATCATCTCCAGTGTGTTTAAAGAGGCAGACAAAATGGTAAAAGTTACAGGTGGGGGGAGAACTACCTTTTAATCTTAAATAGCTTTACAGTACATTACTATTGGTCCTCACACCCTTCTAAAACCCACTCTATGCAACTCAGAACAGATTAGGACTGCTTACTAAACTCACAATAACCACAGGCCACTAATAATTTAAAACCTGAGACTTGGAAAAGATACACTTGGCTGCATTACAAACTGGGTAAGAACAGATAACTGTTGCTCTAGGTCCAAATCATACCCAAATTTAAGCAAACACCTACGTTTGTATTTAATAATCTAAATCTTTCCGTGAAAACTTACATAGAAAGCACTCATTCAGACCAAGCTACTTTCTCCCTACGAAGTGATCAAACACCACTTTAATTATTCAAAGGCTTCTTAGTAGAAATAAAATTCCAATATTACTATCTAATTAGCTGCCAAAAGAGAATTCAAAACAATGAGCTAAAATTCAACCCTAGCACAACCACACTGACTTAATGAAATTACTTCAGCAATTGATGTTGCCCTTTATATGCATACACCATGAGACAAATACTGAACTTCCCAGTGCTGGTGTCTTAATTCATCTAAATAATACAAAATACATCTTAAGTTCTACGCTGCACGGACTAGACACTTCTGTAAGGCCAAGATTTTAAATAGATTATATAATATACTTTCAATGGGCTACTTTGCTACTGAAATTAAGACTACCAGAGTTAAACTCAAATACAAATGAACGAGCTTTGCAAGCTCATTTCATCTCCACTACACACTATATGGCAAAATCCATTTCCCAAAGATATCACTAATAAAACTCCCCAAACACTCAGCCGAAAAATTCCTGAACAGAATTCCACAACAAACACAACATGTATCATTCAGTAATTAAAACGCTCTTAAGTTATACACTCTGCTGCACACTAAATGAAAAATCCTAGCTGATTTCAACTCCACAGCTATCGTCATTCAAAAGCTAAAAAGAAATCAGACAGCATCAGGAGCAAGAGCCACCACTGCTCTGAGAACAAGATGAGCTTGTGATTTCCCATTATTGTGAAGATTTCTCAAAAACGTAATGGACCAAACTTGGTGAGGAAAAAAAAAAAAAAATTCATGAATTAGTGGCAGAATCCTTGAATGATGTCTGTAAAGAAGAAAGGGCTGCCTTTAAAGGAGATATAGGCTTTTCCGAAGTCTGCCAATTATGGTGCCAGTGGCTATTTGGAGGTTCAAGTTTGGAGCCTCTCACCATGCATACACTATGACCTTCTTGGTGTCTCAAGAGATTTTCTACAAAGACTCCAGGACAATAGTAGGACCTCTCTGGAAGGGACGCGTGAAATTCTCATTGTGAAGTTGAGTAAGTTGGATGGTCAAGTAGATATGTAGAGAGCGGACTGTACATAGGTGAAGGGAAATGTCAGGAAGCAAAATGGAAGCAAAGATGGTTGCAATTAAAAAAAAAATTTTGAGGAGTGACTCGGTTAGCGATCATAGGCTGGAGATTCTAAGAAATCAAACAAAAAGCGAAGAACATTCGTTATTTGGGGAGCAGAAAAACACTGTTGCTCTCACATAGCTCTTGAAACAGAAAAACACGTTCCAATGGTTGCAAAGAAGAAAGGATCTCTCTTTTACAAGGCCATAAAAAGCTCAAACCTGGCCATGCAGATGAAGAAGCCATGACTGCCATGAAACGGAAGTTTGCAAGAGAATTGTGACTGTTAGCCATCCAGCATGCACGGTAATAATCTCATTCGACCACATATGTATGCACATGAACGCCATATTTCTTGTAACGCTGCAGTCAAAATCCCATAAGAAAAGGAAAGTAGTACCTTGGTAGCAGACAGTAATTGTAAAAAAACAAAAACAAAAAACCCAAAGAAACAAAAAACCAAAACCCCCGAAAACAAACCAACCAAACATCCCAAGCAGTTTTTGCCACAAAGCTGCAACAACTTGAACGACGCAGGCAGCAACTAATGAAACAAGACAGCAGCAAATGTGCATGCGTATTGTGTAAGAGACAAAAATACAGGTGTAACCGTGTTCCAGAAATGAAGAAGTACCAGAAAGCTTATGAGAAGGACTTGGTAGCATTTTCAATTACAATCACAGGCTAAAGAACACCCCCACCCCCATGTCCCACAGAACGAAAGCGTACATCTTTGGAAGGAGGCAATGAACGAGTTAGAACTCAAAAACATTTGTTAATAACAAAGCAAAACTATTAAAGTCTTGAGATCATACAAACATTGTATATCATTAAATTCAAAGACCAGTGTAAAATAGTTAAAAGGTTTAAAATACTTAAAGTGTTCAAAATATACATATGGCAGATAACTATATTATGGGTTTGTTGGTCAAGTATATCACCAAACAAATATTAATAAACTAAATAGTGCATGCTGTTACACCACTAAAGGAACTACAGTATAACGCACACTTATTTCAACCCACAATCTCTGGCACCAGCCCCAGTGTTGTCACAAATCCCAGGTGCAGCCTACGAGACGGGGGGGGGGGGGCAATTAAGATCATTAAGTCTGCCTCCTAGGATCCCTGTTTTGCAGTAAACCCAAACGTACTATAAAATGCTTCCCCTAACAAACCAAGCTGTCACACACACAGTAGGTGAGTTGCCAAATGCAAGATAATTTTTCAAGGGTTATTCTAAAACTTGAGGAAGCAAGACTGTTTCAATTATTGGTTCAATTAAGTCATTACAGCTAATTAAACTACTAGCAGAAATAAATTCCAAAGTAATTGACACTTCAAGTACAGCAGTTAACTTCTATTTTTGCTTGTCCCTCTTTTTTTCCCCCCTTCCTCAAATATTATTTAACCTCTATTTCACAGGATACAGACTCGACAAATTTTGGGTCTCCCTCATCCTCTGGCTTTATTAATCACAGCTGTATTAAGCAGCAGGTATTTTCTAAACCACGAAGAGGCCACTAATCCCTGGAGTTGTTAAACAAAGAGGTCACTAAGACCTGATGTTATGCCTTGACACTAGATAAATTAAAAACAAACACACACCCACAGTATTTGTTTTCCCTCAAAAGTTGCAAAAGAAAGTTGCACGTTGTTGGCCCAAGGACTTCTGCCTATATCCACAGAAAATCTGACTGAATGCATGGTTGCGGTCCATCATTCTGAGGAAAGGGGAAGGCACTAACTTCCGAGCCACAACTGAGAACGGCAAATAGCACAACAGACTTTAACCATGTAAGCGCATGCACTGTATAAAAGGTTTTCCTCTACTGCTACGAAGGAGACAAATGAAAGGAGCTCACGTTATTGCTCCTAATCGTTCAGTCATGAGTTTGAAATATTTTGAAACATTCTTCAAACGGGTATGGGATGGTTCAGAAGTTTGGCTGAGGAGTATGGCGCTATTCATTTTTATGGCATTGATTCACAGTCAGCTTGAAAATATCTACTATCTGCTGAACATTTAAGGGCTTGCTCAGGCATGTAAGTCTCAGTGACAGCTATCATGGTTAATAACTTGAGGCCCCGGTATACAGCACCGGTACATTTACATTGCCACATTGTTACTCTTTCATTAGCACTTTATTGCAGCATCAAAAGCAATCAATACATTTCCTGTATATGCTCTATTCTAAAAGAAAAAAAAAAAAATCACATAATTAAACATAGTATCTGAAAATGGGACTATACACAAACTTCTTTCTTTTCAACACAAAGGCAGCAGAAATGCACAAGCACAGCATATATCACAACTAAGAAAAGCACAGAGATATGTTCTGTGGATGAAACCACTTAAGTATACTACTTATGAATGCATCCTCTTTGCATACATATCAACAGTTTAAGATGCAAAACAGATGTTCATACAAACTGTGCAGCGAACAAAATGCACTTCTCTCCCTCCTCCCAAGCTAAACAATCAGTGCTACACAAACCTAAAATCAGACTGCAGAAAGTTATCTCTATATATAGTTAAGACAGATCCAGAAGCTAAAAGACATGCTATCTGTCTCTAATTTCCCCCCTCTCCAGAACATTTGAACCTTCCTGCTACAATTTCAGATTCACTACCGCACAGCTTTGTGAGATACCAATGTGACAGATAAGGAACTAAAGAAAACATTGCCTCTAACAATCTGTTATCTCCTGTACGTGAAATGGAGCTTCTGACTATCACATAATCTTGTTGTAAGTTGCTTTCAGAAAATACCTATCGAGTTTTTCCAGAAAATTTGTAACTTTTGTACAAACAAAAGCCCTCACCAGCACAGGCATAGCAGGTAGTCAGTAAAACCCCAGGAAAAACTTTATCATGTAACAATGCCCATCCTAACTTACCTCTCAGTTCCTGCTTTTATTATTCCCAGCTCTTCCCCTTTAACAGGGGAAAAATACTTTTATTGCACACAGTAATGCATATAACAGAGATCAAAGATTAACATTTTTTCCTTTGTTCATCTCCATTGAGGACTATTAGTCAAAAAGATTTAGCGCTTTCTCCTTCTCATACTGTCACAATAAGATAGTACCAATTCCCAGAGGGCCATCCAGTCAAGACCTAAACACGGCAGTATGGGATGACCAGAAGTGTTTACACTCCTGAAAGAACGTATTAAAACACTTGCTTATGTATTTTTTTGATACGTTCACAAAGTGGACAGTTCAAGAATTCCATTTGTTGAGTACGGAAAACGACTGTACAGTGAGAAAGAGCAATATAAGGACCCACCCAGAGATGCCTTAAAATCTTCACTTCAGGAGAGGCTGTCAAAACCTCAGTCAAAACAAGGCAAATGCAAGAACAAAGCCTTTTGCAGTCTTTCTGCACTGTAACTAAGACTGCGTCAAAGGATGTTGCCTGTTTTCCTCAAAAAAAAAAAAACCCCAAAAACACAACAAACAACAAAAAATCCCATCTACCCTAGAGTTAAATTAACTAGCTGAAAAAAATTCTTACTAATATTGGTTAACCAGCAATTAACATGCACTTCAGTTCAAAAACTGCTTCTATTGTAACATTTTCAAAGGTTCTCTTACTCTCTCTCTTTTTTTTTTTTTCTTTTAATACAGCTAAGAAAATCAACTTTTTTGAAAATCTTTTTTGAAACCCCATTAGGCTTCTGGCCTCAATCTCTTGGGGACATGTTCAACCGCCTAAACTGCTCACTGTACAGAAAAGCACTGCTGTTAGTTTTCACTATGTTGTTTTTGACTCAAGTCTTGAATAGTTACAATCGTCGTTAATGTCAGATGCTGCAGAGGAAGACCGCATCAACTGTGTAATGCTACATTTGAACAACGTTCCTTCCAAGGTGCAAATTTATCAGGAACTTCAGAACAAGAAGGATTTCATAGCCCTTCGTAAACCTTATTTATCGTTCGGTTAGGAGTAGGTTATAGGGAAAAGGACAAGTTTCCAAAGTCATTTTTTGCAAACGCCTCTCTGAAAAGGACAAGAGGGAAATAATATATCACGAAAAGAATTATCAAGAGAATTTAATCAACAGAATATATTATAAAAAGATGTCTCTTAAAGCCCTCCAAATAAGCAACCGGCCAGTAAAATGGCCCTTTCTCACTATTTTTAAAACTAGAAAGTGCACCAAACGGCACATAGCACGTATATCTTCCACTAACCAGAGAAAAATAAGGAAAGTATATACACAATAAGTAGTAAGCTGCCTTTGCAGCTCTATTCTCAATGCTTGCACAGGCTATTCACAGATACATAAGTAGATAAGAAACAGACTCTGGACAAGGAAGGGAGAGAACAATATTCAGCCTCTTTGTCCTCATCTTATTATATTGTTAAATACTGCGCAGAAGGGATCACAGGAATAAAGCCGTAGTGATGCACTATCTGAAAGGGTTGAGAGACACTGAATTGCACAGGGAAATAAAAGCGGGAGCGCCGGGGGAGCTCAAAGTAAAGAGAAGGAACCCCAGCTTCCTGCAGAACTTCCTGAGATCTGCAAGCTGGGAATTAAATCCAGCACATTGAACAGAAACTCAGCAAGAAGAAACTCAGAAGGCTTCCTGTCCTCTTGGCTCCCTGTGTCTGCACACAGAGAAGTTGCATGAAGACACTCCAAGTCCTACAGATATAAGTTCAAATGGCAAACTCTACTAGTTTGCCTTATATAAGATTTGAGCATAATACCGGACTTTGTTTGGCAATTTGGTTAGCAATTGGTTGGTAATTGTGAAAGACAGCCAGGCCATATGTTTAAGAGAGTTCAGAAATGCATTGTAAGTACACTCATAAAAATTCAGTCTAAGTGTGATCTATTTTGATGACTTGCTTTTTGTGTGTGGAAACTTACTCACCAAAAACAAACCAAAAACCAGTATCTTTCATTTTTTATTTTGGTTTAAGGGCTCCAACCTCAGCATTTTTCCCTTTGCATAATCTTTGCTGTTTCTATTCTGTTCAACAGAAAGCAAAGAGGAGGGGGAAAAAAAAGAAAGAAAAGAAAGAAAAGAGCCCACACACCACTGTAACTCTCTCTAGTGCAACATCCCACTAGCACAGCAGGCTCACAAAATCCTTCTAGGGTATAAATACTAAAATCACGGTTTAGCATTTAAGATGTCAACATCTTACTCCCCCACCTTCTGCAAAACCATACAATTTTCTTTACTTCTAATTTCTTTTTTTTTAAACTCTTGAAGCATAGGAAGTACAAGATACACTTCTATCAATCTCTAGGAGAAAATAGCAGAAGAAATCATGCTAATATGATGCTGTACTACTGCTTAGAAATGATGAGAGACTGGTAACTATTACAAGTTTAAATTATTCGTTGAAAGCATATTCCCAACAATGAACACAACATCATCCAAATCTATTTTTAGAACTATGCTTTCCTTTCTATCTAAAGAATATGTTATAATCTTTCATGATTCACTATAGCAAAATACTAGTTAGAAGCATTTTTATTGGGCAAGAAAAGTGAAGGAGCGAGAAAAGAATTTACTGAAATACAATCATATGAATCAGGGAAAACTTAAAGGAAAGAAAAATCAAAAAATTCCAGGAAAAAATGATTTTATAAAGGTGAAAATGCAAGAAAAACCCAAGTATTATAATGTCATAAATAACTCAAATGGACATGACTCAAGACCAAAAAATTCAATAAACGACTACTGAAAAGTAGATATAGCTTGTAATTTTAAGTATCTTTTTCTGTTGTAGCATGACAAGTTTTAAGCTGCCCTACTTTCCAAGTGCATAAATAGATACAGAAAACACCACTAGTGCAGACATATACAAATACGCAATTTGGAGAAATTAGAAAACTGATATTTTCTAAGCAGTGCAAAGATTTCCACCTACTTAAATGAGATGTTTCAGATGTAGCACTGTAATACTAGTCTTTAATAATCTTGAAAGTTCAGCAAATCCATTACTTCAAATCGTTTAGTTCATCTTAAAAATGGCATACGTAACAAATTTTGGCAACTGCTATTTCAAATATTCACACAGGATACAAATGACAACACATACACAAAAAAAACCCTGCTCTTCTATAGAGTTCAAATAAACCCAATTCTTCCTGTATTCTACATTTCTGAGTTACGGGAATTTCCAGTTGGATCTCACTGGAAATGTATAGGAAGATAGAAACATTTACAGAAGGATCCTTGCAGAATCTATTATACTGAAATCAAAATCCTTAATAAAATCAACAACAGAAAACTCTTATAAATGAACTCAGAAATCAATATACCAAAGCAAGACTTCTGGTTACTTTTTTTTTTTTTTTTTTTTAAAAGGACATAATAAGCAACAAAAGTTAATGATATTCATTCAGCCAGAGGATTAAAAGTCACCAGTCTAAGTCTAAGTAGCAAAGATCAGTGCAATGGACAAGGGAATTAGTGGTCAGGCAACAGCTGGTATTAAATACAAAAGGAAATCCCCAAAACACAGGTTGCTGTGAAAGTATAAGGAAGTGTCACCATCTGCTTTCCCTACTATAATAGTCTCTCTTAACAGTATCTGCTCCTGTCTTCCATTGGAGACAAGACACTGGGTTAAGAAAGACCTTTGATCTGACCCATAATGGCCATTTTTGTGCTCTTGTTCATTTACCCGCTTAAAAATCATACTCTACAGGTCTCCTAATTATGAGTTGTTAACAAGTTGGCAATTAGTAAGAATTATCAGTTCCTTTTTAAGCTTCGCATTTTTTGCGTGTTTGCCCAAACCCACACATTTTTACTTTTTTTGTGCTGAAACATGAAAACCTGCCTGTTTCATAAATGAAATAAAGGATCACTTGCACACACTTCATCCATTGATTGATTACATGGCCCTGAGCATCCCAACTACCTCGATCTCCTTTTTCTAAAACTTCCTGTCTGAAGGACTGTACTGGCCTCTCCTGTGAAAACCATTCTCACTCAATGGCAAAGCTGTTACTGGAATCTGTTACTGTTTCTATCTGTTCCCGTGTTGTACCACATACCTGCGCCCAACAGCAAAAGCTGGAAAGGGCAAGTTTGCCATACCCTTGTGGTGAAATTAAGTAGACAGACTACTAGTAATAGTTGCAATTCCTCCTCCCCCCCCCCATTAAACCAGAAAAAGTCACCTGAAGATATAAGTCTAATTCATCACAGGGATGCTTGATTAGAAATTCAAATGACAAGAGAGTAAAATTTAATGAACACACATCAGATGCCTTAACTGATTATAAACAAAGTATCTTACCCTGATTTTTCTTTTTCTTCAGCCTCTGCATTTCTGGTAGGATTTTCCGGTTCTTTAACCTTTTCTTCCAGAAAAAGTCACCTGAAGATATAAGTCTAATTCATCACAGGGATGCTTGATTAGAAATTCAAATGACAAGAGAGTAAAATTTAATGAACACACATCAGATGCCTTAACTGATTATAAACAAAGTATCTTACCCTGATTTTTCTTTTTCTTCAGCCTCTGCATTTCTGGTAGGATTTTCCGGTTCTTTAACCTTTTCTTCCTCTTTATCTTCCAGTTTGGTTTCATCTTCGGTTTTGATAACATTTAAGTCCTTTTCTTGATCAGGCTGAGTATACACAGTTTCTGGCAAATTTTTTTTGTTTCCCTAAAATAAATAAAAAAAAAGCCATTCTTTTAACTTACAAGATTAAATAAAGGATTTAAGAGAATGCAGACATACCACACTGAACTTATTATCAGCAAAAATTAAAAATTTACAGCTCTTTCTGAAAGGATAGCACCTCCCCTTATTGTTTTTAATTTTGAAAACCTCAACCGAAACATAACAGACTTCAAACAAAGCCACAGCTACTCTCCTTGGTAGTTTTGTCATGACGACATAGGCATGCAGCTCTCGGATCTGACCTGCAATGCAATCCCTAAAATGAACACTTCACAGGGCACATTTGCACCTAGGATGCAGCACTTGTCCAGCCGGTATTCATCCCAGAGTTAGTACCAGCAAATAGACCAGGGCTGGCTGCCTCTTACACAGGGGAGCACTACAGCAGGGCTGCACGCGGACGCAAACAGTTGATTCCAGACCAAAGTGCTAAGCCTGCACAGCGCTGTCTCTCTGGATTACTATGAGCTACGTTAGTCCACTGTCTGCAGCACACGCCCCAGATCTTTGTGGAACCTCACTGGTTTCACCAGGAGTGAAAAAGTAAAAGCCAGATTTACGAAGGCTTAAAAGTGAGGCTAGGTGCAAAATAAAAGCATCACAGCACTGTAGGTAGCTGGGAGCATGCATTACCCAGATCAGCATAAAGCAGTACACTAGTTGATCTGCATTTGACCTGGGAGCCCCCAAGCAGGTGGAACATTGCAGCTGCTTCCTCACAAGTCAGACATTTCGACATTATGATCTCCAAAACAGGCACCTAGAGATAAATCTAGCTCAAATGTGTTGTTCTATATTAGTATTATTGCAGGTTTTGAGCTGTTTTAAAACCATTACAGAGATTTTAATCTCAACACAACGTCAGCATTGTCAACACACTACCTGGATTTATCAAAGGGATATAACATGAACGTTAAAATATTTTACCAGAATGGTGGGCTTATCATTTTCTTTACATTCATCATCATTCTCAGACAGCTTTTTTTCTTCTTCTTGTACTATCGCTACTTCTTCCTGGTTGTGCTCCTCCTTATCCGCTTTGATTTCTTTTACATCCTGCTCTGGATCTTCACGCATCTTCATTTCTTTTTCTTTTTCACAGTCTTTACAAGGCTTGCCTGTCACTTTCTCCGGCAATGCCATCTGAAACTCAATACTGGCCGATGTACAATATTCTTCAAAGCCATAGAGATATCTGAAAGAAGAAAAAATGTATTCTGTAAAATAATCTTAACTGTAACAAAAATATTTCACTATTTATAAGTTGTTTTGCTTTATTTTTCTGTACTGAGATGTGAAAAAATATCTTTTGTTATTAAGCAGTATTACAGAAATGCAAAAAACGCAGAAGATTTTTCAAGAAAACCAGGGGAAAGAAAGGAAATAATTTATAAAGAAAAAAGCACAAGAAAAATAAAATTCAATTTATGTGGCCTGTGAATAAATAAATCTCAAGTGCCTCTAACTCTGAATAAACTATCAAATCAACTTAAAAATGAGTTTGTATTTACAAACTGGCATTTTTCCAAGCTTCCTAAAAAAGAAGCCTATTAGATTTTTTTTATTATTATTAATTTTGACACAGGATTCATGTTGCAACGCCTGTATAACTTACTTCAGTCAGAAATCATAATGAATGATGGTGGTTTGACTTGAAACTAGCCGACCAACAATTTCAAAATCAATAACATTCAATGGATGCAGAGAACGTGAAATACACCAATCTGCAATATATAGTGACTTTACAGCATAGAGCACTTCTTGCTTGGCTGCAAGTGAGGATGGCATAATCCTCTGTCCTCTACTCTAGTGATAATACACTTGTACGGCATAGAGACTGACAAATCAAATCATTCTAGCAACGAAGAAAATAGAACATCCGGAAAGCTTTCAATTCACATTTGATTTCTGAAAGCTTTTAAAACATCACTAACACCAAGCCTAAACATTTAGCAAAGGAAAACAACAATTGAAACAAAATGCTGGATATTTTTTCCTTTTTGTTTCTGGACTTCATGGACCAGCAGCTGATATCCGACACTATCCAACAGCTAATAAGAAATTGTATATTTCACTTTATTGCTAGGTGTTTGTACTTTGCACTTCTTATCCCCCCTCCCTTAAAAGAGAGGACTTAAAAGGGAGGCAAAAGTACACAAAATATATAGATATTTTAAAGACACTAAAACAAATAATACTGCCCAAAGATACCAAACCTTTTACAGCGATAAGCCAAGTTTCTTTCAAGAAAGAACACACTAAGAGAAGAAGCGAGACATGAGCAATACGCTTAGGGTTTACAAAAATCGCATTTTACCAAAAAGTACGGATTTTATGTATGTTGCCATCACCACAAAAATCACTTCCAGTGAACAGAACTAGTAAAACTAGTGCTGTTTTAGCAAAAACGCCATAGCTTTTTTACTTACTTTTTATATGCACATTTAACATTGTACCCTGCAGCTGAATTCAACACAGGGATTCCAAGATCCTGATAAACTTGCTTCCACACTGCTCCGCTTTCAATCTGTTAAGGAAGAAAATTACAGCAGGTCTGCCAAGTTAACTCACTGACGCACAAAAAACTAAGTCAACAACATTTATAGCTTTGGAAGATAATTATAATTCATTTCCTCTGATCTATAAAATTACTATCATACAGTATTTTGCTGTAATGCAAACTGCAGTCTACTTTAACTATCTTTAAGTTAGCGTTTTTCTATTTCAGTAAGCCACAGCAGGCCCTCCTACCCAGGTGGTACTAAAGCAAAGCAAATAATATCAAAAACAAAAATCAGTACCTCATTTTTGTTTCATATTTAAAATAATCTTTAATTACCAGAGCTGGAATTTTAATTTAAAAGAAAAAAATTGCTTCAAAGCATTAGCAGCACTCAGTCCTGGCAGTACTGCACTAGATACAGCAAACACTGTTCTTCCATTATATCTTTAATATGTCCCTTGGTGTCAAAGTTTCGTAGGCAGTACAACAGGCGCATTTGTAACTATCTGTGAAGGTAAAGAGGATGTGCTGCAATACTCAAGCACAAGATCCTCTCCTGGATATCAGAAAGATGACACCTCACAAGTACCCCTCTCAACAGGCTGACAGGCTGCCTTTACGGAAAGAAGTCCAAAGCAGTAAATGCAATCTGCTTGGCCAAGAATTCCAAGTATTTCAATTACTGCTCCAAGAACAATTCCACTAATCCTAGCCAGCACACTCTTCTATGTATCGCCCAGAACAAATAGGAATTAAGCTCCTCACAGAAACCTTAATAAAATCTCAAAGGTAAGTTGTGAGCTTTCTCACTGTCTGAGAGGAGAGTTTTAGCAGACAGGTATTTGTTGAAATCTCGTAAAAAATATGCTCGCTGATTTTATGTGGCAATAATTAAGTACACTTGAGTAGATGCGTAATTTCTTTAGAGTATAACTACTTCCTGGCTCCTGTTAAAATATATGTCTTTTTAAGAGCTACAAGGAGACTCAGACAACTGTAAGATTAAATTTTCAGATGTGTAATGCTCCTGTATAGGTCTTGTTTATCATTACTCAAACCAGAAGAAACTGCATCCTCAGAGTCCGTGAATCTGGAATACTTTGCACACCAATACTTACATTATCAAATCCTCCAAGCTTGTGTACAAGTCTAAATAATTTGAAGAGATTCAAATTTCTGTATCCTAGTACAGGTCGTTTATTAATAGGAGTCCCTGTGAACAAAGACATTTACTGAAATATTTTGAAGTCTCTTTTTCAGAATAACATGAAATCCACGTCATACACTATTCTACACTACTAAAAATATAGTATTGTAAACCCCATCCACTCATCACTTCATGCCTCTGCTTATTTCCTTTTATGGAGAGAAGAAAGTAACTCACTTGTTACCCACCTTCCCCTACAGTCCAGTAATTTAATTCATACATATGCATTCTGCCTTTTATTACTGTATATGCACAAATGACCCAGCTTTTCTTGCCACATATCATACATACCTTTGTTTTAGCCAATGGAACTACTACATGTAATAGCGCCAGTGCAGTCCTTTCACTACAATCAAAAAATATCTCGCAAGGAATAAATCCCATAATGCTTCAAAGAGCTGCAACTTTCTATGCTCGTGTACTAGCAGTAGCTACCCTATTATCTCTGGTAAGGAAAGCAGAGTTCCTCAGCTCAACTTCACATGTAACTAAGAAGGTTCTAATATCATAGAAATACCTCACCACGCCTCCAAAAAAATTGTACTTTTCTTGGAACGTATAAGAATTTGGTAAAGATTTACTGTATTAAATGGCATTTGTTTTTTTTTAAAAAAAAAATTTTCAACCTTATCCATAAAATACAAGCATCTAAATGATTAGGATTCACAAAATAAAACAAGTGTGAAGTAGACGCATTTTTATGCGATCCTAAAAAGCGTTTCTTTAGGTAGCTTAAAGCTATTGAGTATATACATATTAGTATGATTGAAGATATTAAATGCTTGATTATATAATCACAAGTATACAGTAGAAAATATAGTAGCTTATAATGAGATACTATCCATTTATCTCTGACATCAGGAATAAATAACTATTTTATCTGCACCAAATACTGCCTGGGAATAGGAGGGAAGAAAAAAGTGACAGACTACCGTCTTCTAAATAACGGGGAAGCCAGAAGTAAGGAATACAATCTCACTGTTTCCAAAACGGAACTGCAAAGCACTAGTAGATTACAGACTCAAACCTTAGAGCATTGCTATGTAATGCATTTACCGTCAACTACTACAAGTCAAAGATCACAATACCTACCTCTGTCTTCCATAAACTTGTACAATTGCTGAAGAAAGTTCTCTCTCTCTTCCGGAAAAGGCTCTATTTCCTCCTGTTTTAAGTAATGCACACAAGAAAAGTATCACTTACCATTATGAGTCACATGGTTTCATTAAAGCACTGTAGTGATTCGCTTACGTTCAAATGTGGAAGTTTGTTTTACTGAAGATAGTGACAAAATGCTATACTAAGACATGTGGTCTTAGCGTTATGCCACATGGAATCAAGTTTTAAAAGCCACAAAAAGTCTTTCTTAATATATAAAACAATAAATGTAAAGACACAGCTGAAATTGGATTTTCAACCGATCACTGAAGCGTCATAAGGAACGTCGTAAATCAAGATGCATTCTCAACTTTATCTACTTCGGCAGAAAGTAGTCTAGGTAGGAGACATCTGTTTTAATGGTCAAGAGATTATATTAGATCTCAAATCTAATTCTCCCGTAATTAAGCAATTCCTTAATGCCTGGTTGCAATATGTCACTTTCAGGCATGAAGTGGAAGATAAAATTGTGCTTGCACTTTTTTTTTTTTTTTTTCCTGGTAGGAGTTCTAATCCACAGTGCTGACAAACCACAGCCTGACACTGCATGCATACTGCCATGAGGTACTAGCTGAATGCCAGATGAGCAGGATCAGTCCCAGGACTGAAATAACAACAGATATTTTATATGTTCAGTTCATTACACTAATAAGCCTTTGTATCAGATTTACTTAGAATAATAAACAGCAGAGTTTCATGGCAAAACACTATGGTTATTTTATAATACCTTATAATTTTCTTTAGGAAATGACACTTGCCTCTCTACCAGTAGTGATTAACATTATCATTTTGATACTATCACCATTTTTTTCTAGGATAATCAGAATTTCTAAAAATTCCAATGACTAAGCTGTTTAAAAACGATATGCTGACAAATTCATTAATTTTCTGCATGCTTTTTTAATGCTAACTACCTGTAAAGCTTCTAAAAATATAAAAGTTATTCAGTTAATCTACAGTAAAAACTTGGGTGCATCTTCATACTGTGCTCATCTTTTCCACCCTATGACAGTTGTCTTGCACTAAATATTAAAGCTCTACCTACCTAGAAGCAAGCAGAAAACATACTGCCAAAGTTACACCAAGACAGTTGGGAAAAAAAACCAAAAAAACCAGTAGAAATAAAATATAATCATTAAAGACAACAGAAAGATTCCAGCGTCTGTTGAAGCTACTTAACGAAGAGACAGATAGCTGAAAATAAGATCAAGGAAGGCTATAACTATTACAAGTAGTTTTTTTCTTATTCTACACTTCTCCCTCCATTAAATGCATTTAGACGACACGTCAGAGCAAACAGGGAAAAAAATCGGAGAACAACTGTTTCCAATATGCTGAAACAATTCTCATTTAGCTGTAATTAGTAACAGAAATACAATGAAAATACTCCAAAGTCAGAGCCATTGCAAGGCAATGCAAGAGGAAGGTCTCTGTGAGGGAAATTAAATGAAGAGCATCTACCTGATACCTAGTATAGCTGCAGCAAAACATGGAGCAACCTACTTCAACAGGCAAGAACGACAAGCTGAGGCGAGAACTGCAGTTCTCTGTACTGAATACATCCTCGTCATGCAGGAGGAAGGAAAATAAACAAACAATATCCTTCACTGGCATCGAGGAGCGTTGCTGCAGCACTGCATATAGTGCAGAGAAATGCCTAGTTAAGAAACTTCATATTTAATAGGCGAAGAAGGTAAAGGAAACTGCTAGTAAGCAGACGATTCAGCTTGTCAAAAAATTTGACTGAGGCCACGCAGACCAAATGGCTTGACTAGAATGATACATATATAGAACAATTAAATTAACAGAGAAAGCTATTTCACTGTCATACTGAAAGAAGGAGGAGGATTTTGCTATACACAGTGCAAAGGTCCAGAATTTAGCAAAAGCTGCTGCTTCTAATATTTCATATGACAGGTACTTGGAAAGGATTCTTCCAAGCATGCCCTGGATCATGGCGGACAGCGAAAGAACACCTACTTGGGTTTTTCACATTGCTCACAAACAAAACAACACTTGCCATAACAAAATGGTCTCAACACAGCATTTAGGGGATGGGAAAGATAGCGTTCAGCTGAATCTCAGAAAAATCCAACAAAGCACAAAAAGTAACGTGTCTTTTAAATATATGAGAGACTAAAATAGAGGTAAAGAGACTGGATTGCTGCCCTTCGCTCACTGAAGGATGCAATGCCTGAAGAGTAGATTACAAGAATCTCAAATGTGATAATCCACAGAGGTGCCAGAATGGCAACTGGACATTCTTTATTAATTTTCCCCAATGGAAACCACATCAACTTTCTAAGAAACTGCGCTAAAGATCAATTTTAAGTCCCTGTGCGCCACTGAAAAGCATTTTTACTTTCTCAGAATCTCTGCAAACCCAGTGCAGGCTATGCTATGATAACATCAGTTAATAATTCCCAGCTCCTTCAAGAATCTCCTAAATAATCAGGGAAGTTAGATGATAAGGTTTCCTAGGTGATAGTCTGAAGGAAGCATGTCATACTCTACCATCTTGGCTTATTTCTAAGTTAAGCAATGCAATGCTAGTAAGGTCACTCTGCAGCTACTAATGCGTCTGTCCATGTCGCAAAAATAAAAGAAATGGGCAAACCTGCCTGATAATGAAACCTAGAAAACAAGCAACATGCCATGAAAATTCACACAGTATTATAACCCAACACTTTCTAAAAAATAAAAATAAAAAAATAAAAATAAAAAAGGGTCTTTGTCTATCCCTCTATGTTTGGCCATCACCAGGTAGAAATAGGAAAGGCAGAACCTCTTCAGGAGATAAGTAAAGAGGATTTACATGTCAGTGTCTGTGAGAGCATCTACGTATGAAAACTGAGGTGATGTACGTAAGAGCTGTTCATTTTTTGTCCTGATTCACAGGGGCCAGGACCACATGGATGCCCTTATGGCAACCAGTGAGAATTGTTCATGCCCTGGAAAGAGCTACAACAATCTGGAGGTGCATAACGAGGTCGCAGGAACAGGCCTACAGGTCCTTTTTAAGAAGGGAGGCTGCTGATAGCAAGGAGGTTATGGACGCAATTTACTAAAAAAGAAAAGACGTGGCAGAACAGAATGCTCACCAAAGAAGGTGAGGGTAGAGAAGGCACGCCTGATCTTGATCACTCAAAAAAATGAAATAAAATTATGATTTTGCCTCCATTTTAAAAGCCTCCTAGCTCAGCAGGGGACAGAACATTAGATACTGGAGGGGCAATTATCACAAGAGATGTCACAGTAAATCCCAAAAGATTTGGCTGAGATGAAATCTTCATGTCTAGCACACAGAAAGACAGAAGGTCATCACAGGCAGCTGGGAGAAGCTACGGAGAGAAGGTGCTGAAACTCTTTCGCCAAAGACAAAGGGTACAAGGCCAAGTATTTACAAACGCTATGGATGAAGACTAAATTTTTCACCTAAGAGAACTAGTGAGAACTGTAACAAAGACCGTACGTCAGCCTGCATAGGTACAAACCTACCCATACTCATCATGCCCTTGGCTGGACATGACCTGCTCTGCAACTTTAAGAACTGTGTCGAGCCAAAGGAAATACCCCTTGGGTCCAAAACATTGCAGACTCGGCTATGCAGCTTTTGATTAGAGATGGTTAATGTCCTGTGAGCTTAAAGAACAGGCAGAATAAACTCGTGAGCACAGAGGGATGGCAAAGTTATCTCACACCTGTGCAGCCTCCCAACAAACCTTAAAACAAACACAGAAGAGAATAAATAAAAGATGGTACGCTATCTTCTTGAATGGCAGGGAACTGCAGCTTCCAGGAAGGATGGGTTCAGAAAAAGATCGTAACAACCATTTAAGGCCCAAACCAGTTCAGCCTGGTGGCTGAAGAAAAGAGAAGAGAAGGTGGAAGAGAAGTGCATGGGCTCATGCCTTGACTGAAAACTCTTCTGCTTCTTTACACCAGGACAGACGGAGAGAGAGAACATGGTGAAACACGCTTCAACAGAGGATAAAAGAGGTGCAACAACTCTTACTTCTTGGTAATTACTTAAAGGTTTCAAAGATTCTCACTTTTCCCTTTTCACCCCTAAAAAAAAAAAAAAAACAACACACACACAGTAAACTCGATTTTCTGCAGTTAAAAGCAGGAAGCAAAGGGGGGAAAAAAAAGAAACAGTGCAAGCTACCTGCAATTTCTATTTTACAAGGGGACCTACAGCCGTAGGCCTGTCATAGCAATTTGGGAGTGGGAAAGGGTGGGGAGAAAAGGGGAAGGAGGAGAGGGTGACAGAGGCCTGAGGCAGGAAGAGAGAACAGCAGGGCCATGCTAGTCTAGTTCAGTTTATTTCTCAAAGATGTCAAGAATGCAGGTCAGTAACAGCTTAGAGCTGCTTCCTCACATGGAGCTCCCATGCAAAAGGCAGAAAATTTCCCTGTGGCTTGGAATCTGTGATAAGCCACAGGTACGCAGGGGAGGGTAACACCTCTTTGGCCAAGAGAAAAATAAGTCCTCACACAGACGTTAAATTTATTTACAGTAGCATGCATGAGTTTAGCGTGCACAGAACTCACTCCACAGCCACAAAGGGGAAAATAAATCAACACTGTTAATACCATGCAATACAGCAGATGTAAGATAAACCAGGAAGGGAAACTGCACCTTTCTGAACACTACAAAGCACTGACCAGCAGCAATAATTACCACAGAAAGGGAGTCACCTGTTTATTTAGAGGGAGGGTGACCCACACTGGAAACTCCATCTAGGTCGTGATTGACGTTATAGCCGAGAAATTAGCGTCCCCGTAACAAACCTGATGTTCTAGAACAACGAAAAATCCCCTTTGCCCTCCAATACTGAAACATTGCATGCAAGAAAAGGCCACTCTAGACTTGCATAAAGTTGCCAGACATAACTGCTGATGTTTTCAAAGAAAGAGCAGTTTGTTTTAAAACTGTCAAAATTGCTTTAAGCACTGTATATCCTTTATTAGGGACAGCTTACATATTTTCTAACCACACAGATCTTCACAATTAGAAGATACTCAATCCTTTACCGGCTAGCAGGCAAGTTCCAGTCAGAAATATAGAAAACTAAAGGGCTCTTTATTCTCCTAAATTAAAACAGAAATATGCATGTGATAACACACACCAATCTCTACCCTTCTGCACCCTGCTCAGCCCCCAGGAGAGGCTGCAACACCTTCTGCTGCTGTATTAGGATGAGTATGGGTAAGATTTTAAAATGGGATCCACCTTTGAGTTTTCATTTCTATCTTCCATTAATTCCCACCAACTCAGCCTTCTGACCAACTATTTTTTACTTAGTGCACTTGAAGATGGTAAATTTTCATAACGATAAGCTCATGTTAACAAATATCATCTTTATGCAAAGATTTTTAAAGCTAAGAGACAAAAATGTTTCTACGGAGACCTAATTAGACATTAGTCTTGCTAACTTATAACCAGCTGTGCATCTGTGCTGTTTGCTAACTTGCCTCTTCTTCACTGCTGTTATCCTCTTTTTCTTTTTCGTCTTCTTCCTCCTCTTCAGCTTCACTGCTGGAACTGTCTTCTTTCAGTTCTGTTTTCCAGTTACTAGGAACAGTTCTGTTTTTACGGAATTCAAGGGCTTGGTCAAAAGCTGTAAAAGGACCACCAGCATTTGTTAACATTGCAGGAAGAATCAGTTTGCCCAATCTTCTAATCAAAAAAGTAGTTGAGGTGGAAGAAAAGTAAAGACTGCTAATTAACCATTCCACCTCCAGATTTAAGGAACTTCAGTAACAACCCTGAGCTGCCCTTACTTATTTGCTTTACCCAGCCAAATGAGCTTGGTCTTCTCTGTACTGCACAACGAATTATTCAGGGATTATTACTATGTTAGTGTCTACAGACAAAACTAAGCATCTTCTGTATTAGGCCATCTATGAACATTTAATTAAGAGAACCCCTACCCCAAGGGGCTTACACTGTGGTTTATGTACATCATTAAACTGGGAGGAGAAGGAGAAAGAAATAAGCATAAGCACATTTTAGAGCTTGACCACACGCACTTAAAATTTCAAGTGAATCCGCAATTCCAGTTTGTTAAGAGGCAACCTTCCCAGAACGATTAGGGGTATGAGAGCTACTCTACGCAGGTCTAATGCAGAAGGCCAAATACTAACTAATCTATAAAGCCAGTGCGCATTGCATGATTACATCCATGCTTGGCAGGTCTAAATTGAAAACAAATGCATTTAGCTTGTCATTTAAAAAAAAAAAAGTGCTTCTAGATTTTCAGAAATGTTTGCTTTCAAGATAATACGTTACAGGAAAATCCCTATATTTTAGTACTTTTAAGACATGGACCAATCTACCAAACGTTTGGGGTACAGTCTATGTAACAAAGTCCAAATCCACACACACACACTACTGTTTTCCCATGAAAAATTATTTTTACCTTGCTTTAATAAAGCATCAGGCTTTGGTGAAGTTTCACTAATTTCCCGAACATCTTTTCTGGGCACAGAAACGCTAGATAATTCAGAAAACAACAGAAAATATTTTAAAATGCTACTTTAAAAGATTTTAAATGCTAAATTAATAGTACAATACAGAGCTGATCATTAAGAATGTGAGAGAGCTACTAAACATACAGAGGAAGCCCATGAAGCATACTTTGACACTTTTATAATGTTACAGTCCAGTCCAATATTAGTCAGTTAATGGATTCAAAACAAAAGCTTTAAAAGTTGTTTGGGAAGACCACACATATCCGTTCATTAACCGACTTCCACTAACATTCTCCTTTCACTAACAGGTAGTTTTTGAAATCTCCCAAATATATATTCCTTAATAAAAACCTCACGTTAACATAGCAAGTAACAACTCACCCAAAACCAACAAAAGCCTACTACATATACGCACCCACCCACCTTTCTGTGGCTGGATAAACCTATGGCAACGTCTCTGAAAAGTGGTGCTCTCTAACCAAAGCGGGGGAGGGAAGCTGCATGCAAAGTCACAAAACTTCTCTTTGTCTGCCACAGTCGTAACAATGACATTAAAACCAAGACAGATTTATACATCCCATTAAGACAGACAAAGTTCAAGGGGGATTTTGTGACAGTTTTCTAAACATTAGAAAAGCCTTGGCAGAAGTTTGCTGGACTAACAGACATTACAAGTACTTTATCCATCAGTTCTCTTACTACCTTCCACTTGAGCGGTATACGCTTTGTTTAATTAGCGACCTCTACGCTCCTACTCACAATTTGCCATCCTTGAAAGAGCGAACGAGAATATTGTCTTTTTTCACTGCAATATCATCACTACAATCTGGACAAACCACCTGCAAAAATATTACAAACGCAAAGTTTAGCGAGAAAAAGAAACAACATGGTAATAGTATATAATACTGCTTCTCAAAAGCCTTTTGGGTTCATTTCTTTTTAGGTAGCACTGAGATGAGAGCAACCCGTGTTCCTTCAAAATACAGGAGTGAGGGCCTCCTTGAATTACTGGATGCAAGAATTCACACTCAGTTCTGAGCATAAGAGCAACATAAGAACAGCCTCCTGACAAACATTAAGTACCTGTCATGTCCTTACAGCTTATTCTACTCCTCCTCCTAAAAGAGCTGAACTTCCACCAAATGCTGCCACCAAACAGTTAGAGACATCTTCTCAAAACTTCCAGAAACTACAAGGTTGTCATAACCCACAGTTTCAGAAACAACAGCACACAGGATTTATAAAAATGCAGGGCTTTTTCCCATGACAGGAGTCATAAAATACATATCAGGATAGGCTCTTTAATTCAAGGAGTGGATAATCAAGTCTAACATTAAGACAATATACTATTAATTTGTTGGATTTTCAAAAGCTATTAAATTTTGGTTAAACTAGTATACAAGTCTCATAACTAAAAAGCTTCAGGGATTTAATGCAAAAATGCATTGTTTATACAATTTCTAAAGTTCTAGAACAGAACGGCAGCCTTCTCCATCATTCACCTCTCCTCACTCAAGACTTACATAGGTCCCTGAAGGTTAACAAACTTCTGGCTGCTATGAATCCCCAAATCACCAAAATTGCACATAACTGCAGCCCTAATGACACCTTGCCAAACAGCTCTTCTTTCTTAAAACCAGTTGTTTTCAATCCCACTTTTTCCACCAAACACACAAAGATACCATGCAAGAGAAGGCTTCCTTTCTCCTTAAGGAGTCACCAGCCATTTAGAATTGTAGAGGTTAAAAATCAAAAGCTTCAGTCAATTTGGGAACAGAGTTGTGCATCACGGAGCACAGGCTAAATATGCTTCTCTGTTAAGGCTTTGGAGCCTTAAGAGTCTCCAAATTCTGTGCATTTTACAAACTCCTAAGACATTATCTGACAAAGATAAAATTTCCTAATTAAAATGCAGTCTGATGTACAGTCTGTTACAGTATTTTCATTTCAAGGATGGAAGACTGATGATCGCCCCCATTTGAAATAGACAGGTGCAATCTCTTAGCTCTCCGAGACGGAAAAAAGCCTTTTTGGCTTTAGCTACTGGTTTTATAGCAGCATCAAGATCTTAGTAATCAGAAATTCATTCAGAGGTTGGAAAAACAGCTTTCTGCAATCCTTCTAGTGCCTTACATCAAGCAGTATCACCTCAATTTTGCTCGAATCAAGTTTCCTCTAGGCAACTATTCTCCATGCTCCAAAACATCACAGATACCAATTGTGCAAAACGGGAACTCCAGTGAGATCACAGGAGGATGAGACAGGATCCCATGTAAGTTCAATTTCTGAAAATGTTGCGAACATGTTTCCTTACTACAACTTTCAAAAGCCTTAAGTACACATTAAAATTAAGCAATATCATAAAGCTTAACACATCATACTCTTTGACATGAGGAACAACAGCCAGACATTGTCACCATTACTACAACTATTGCTCTGAGAAATCATGCATACAGCATTAAACAAAAGCGCTCAATCACAGTCAGTGCTGAGCATTATTTTTACACAACTTAAGCCGCTACAGTTCTACATTTATATATGACTTAGCGTATTTGGTTATAGGACTGATATCCAGAGTACTCAGTTCCCACTTCTAATCTCGACTGCTCTTCACTATAAAGGTTTAGACTAACCTCTGAACTTCTCTTCACATAACAAACTTGCATAATGTCCTCCATGTACTTATACACCAGGTGTACCTGTACACCATATCATTAATAACACCAAGTAAAGCAGTTCTTGGATACATCTTCTTCAGCATATTAAGCATATATTTTCATTTCATCATTCTAATTATTTATATTATGACTAATTGTAATTAAGTCAAACCAGATTTTCCTCAGTAACAAAATAAAGTTACTTTGTTGGTAAAATAGAGATCGATCCCTGCTTAGAAGGTAAAGAAGTACTAGCTAAAAGAATGGAGGGCAACAACTACAGGAAAAAAGAGAGCTCTTTGGGGCACAAATCTCCTCTTTGGCACAATCTCTCAAGCTGCAAGCAATATGACATTTTTATTTGCAGAGCTATAAATCTGATTACTAAACTAATGCTTAGTCCAAGATAAGCTATTTCAGAGTTAACAAGTTCCACGCTCAAAGTAATTTTCTCCCGCTATTGCTTCTCATTCATTTGCAGAAAACTTTCCATGAGGAACAAGCTATTTCATTCTCCAAATGAAAGTCACAGTAAAGGCATATGCTGCTTTTTTCTTTATCTGAGGAGAGCAAGCAACAACTCAGTTAACCTTTAAGGTCCTGCCCACAGCTCTCCTGAGTTAGCACTACATAGTCACACACAAGCCAAATACTTGCCAGAGAGGCTGCTGCAGGAACTACTGATCAGTTACGTGCAAGTCCAGCAGGACTAACCAAACAACATGACTTATAAAAAAAAAACAAAAAAACAAAAAAAACAGCTCAAGCCAATACAGTCGACCTCTTCAAGAGTAGAGCTGTGTTACCCTTATCAACCGGGAGGCAGACCATATTGCATCAATCTTGATGACGGCTTTCAGTAAAGCAAGAGCTTGATATTCTTGCCTATTAATGAAAGCTTCTCCAAATGTTATCTTTCACTAGTGTGAACATCTCCTTGCCGATTATTCTGCCCTCTCTTTGGTCGTAAAAGAGACTTCAATGATTCATTCTCTCCCACCGATTTTTCCAGAAAAAGTTGTGCTGGAAAGCCACTGGACTGCCACAGGAGGTGGCAAGTAGAAACTTGTGACTCAGAGCCTACCGCACACACTAAGAGGTGTTAAATGTTACAGTATGGCATCTTTTTCAAAAGCAGAGCACAACAGCCTTCCTGAAATTAGATAAATTAGAAAACATTTTCAGTACTGCAGCTTTCATTGCCAGGGAGAAATGAGTCAAATATTTTTGCAAAAAATCCATAGTATTGGTAGCTACCACATATGAAAATACTTTAATTTACAAATATATCAGCCAGAGTCTGTATACATTCCTTAGACTAATATTGACGTTTCACTAAACGAAGCTTATTGTTAGAAACTTTTCTTTAAACAAAAGCAAAGGAAGACAGAGAAGACTTACACTAAAAGACTGCAGCATTATTCACGAGAAAGTTTCTTACCATAGTAAGAAAGTAGTAGTATTAGATTTGATTATCAAATATGTTTACACTGGAACTAGAAAAATAAGATTACTTAGTTAAACTTTCTCTTTGCACTTCTTGTATTTTCTTCCTTAATAAACTTCAGTAATTCAGAAAATTACACATAGCATAGGAAAAAAGCCCTCAAACATTGGTTTGGTGACACTTCTTTATACTCTATCAAGTTGGAACTAGGTCAATAAGCTCTAACCATTTGGAAAAGTTAACGCCATGTTAGCAGTGATTTTTTTTTTTTTTATAAACAAACACTCCTATCTACATATATAGTTTCCTTTGACTTAGTAGTTTTTTTTTTTTTTAAATTCAACAGAAGTTCTACTAATCACAAATGAATACATCAAAAAGGGGAGAGGGAAAAAAAAACCTACACACAAAACATACAAAATGCTTTTCTTTGGTGCCTAGAAAAAAAGTCACTTTTTACAAAATTAAAAATAAATAAATATGAAACTCTTACCAAGGCTGGAAACCACAAGGCTTTCTTTTTATCCACACTTAAGCAGTCCACACATACAACTTTTCCTAATAACTCATCACTTTGTTTCCTATCGTCTTCATCTTCATCGCTGGAAGAGGATGAAGATTCTTCTTCAGGACTAAACAACAGAAGAAGATTTAAAACTCAACTGTTCAAAATTCTTAATATTATAATTACAGGTGGTCCAAAGCTAATTGTAAAAAAACAAACAAACAAAACAAAAAAACACCACACACAGATATAAATACAACTGCCTCTGACAGTTTTGGACCAATATTAAGTTAAACTGATTTGTTTTTGTCTCAATCTCTCTATGCTGTTATTCCAACAGTCATATTCTACGAGTCTGCTGTTGTCTGTCATATAGACTATAAAGCTATTTTGAGAGAGAACAAATCCCCGAAAGAGAAGCATCAGCTATGAAGATGAATAGGGAAGAAAATAAGTCTATTAAACCTAAAACAGTTCTTTAAAAACAGTCAGTGAAGCATTCCAATGACTCAGCTTTAATTTCACATTGAACAAAGGGCTGGAATAAAAGTACACAGGTAAAGGTACATATACATCTCAATTAAAAAAAGGTTCCAGCTCACTGTCTTGGCTGTTCCACTCTAACATAATGTTACATCTGGTTTTAATCACAAGGGGAGTCTAAATGTACAATACTACTGCAACTAAGACCACCTGCAACAGGTTTTTTAAAAAGCTGAGCACTTTTTTTTTTTTTTTTTCTTTCAGACGAGTGAATTTGCTGGTTAGTTCTTAGAAAGTACATAGTATGCTCAATGAGCACATCATACAGAATTTTAAAAGCAATCTTCCTTTTTTCACTAACTACTTTTGAGTACAAAGCTCAATATTAACTGAAGACTCAGTTAGCATTTGCGTAATACAAGGTATGTGATTTATGATCAAAGTTGAATTACTATGTTTCATTTTCCCCACCCCAATTTTACATGATCATTTACAGTGCTGCTAAAAGGATTATTTTTCCCTCAAGACCTTCTTTAAAAATAACAGTTTCTTTTAAAATATAGTATCAAAGTCTCTCAAACCCCAGAAGGTAGCCTGCATCATCCGTGGAAAGAGAAAGTAGTCAGGGACTAGAGAAAAGCAGGACTCTTTCTTAAGAGAGGATGCAACCTGGCTTATTTTTGCCATATATGTGCAACTTGTAATTTCTACTCAATATGAGCCATATAATAAGAAAATAACAGTATGCTGGTTTTGCCATAATAATATCCTGTGTGGTTAGGGAAACAGAGACGACGACAACTCAGAGACACCAAGGAAGCTGCAATCACATTCCCCATTATACATGCCACCACAGTCCATCTTTTTCCTTCAATACATTGCAAGTTAGCAAACCAATGCTCAAGTGAATTCATGTTCTACATTTTATTCACGGAACTACACAGAGCAATGTTTCTTTCAAGCTATCAAAAAGACAGAATGAAAGGATAAATCCAAGTGTGGCATGTCCCCTCCAACCTGCACCACCACCACCTCAAAACTTTTAAGAACAAGAAAAGATAATTATGTCTATTGTCTTTTTTTTTTTTTAAATGGTTATTCAAGTGTCCCCTCATATATAATGAGGATGATCTCTATTTCATTCCCATGAACTATCGCTTTCTGAAGAACTGAGCTCATTTCTGAAGATTTCAGTGATTAGCAATCTTACTAATTGGGGGCAGGGGGAAACCTAGGATGACAAAAAAGGGAATTATAAAACTTTTGAAGTTGTTGATATGAACTTACTTTTACGTGATTAATTAGTTGTTCCCTTCCAATACAATGGAAACTATTTTATTTGCCTTCCAAGAAGGTGACAATTCAGTAGAACCACATCACCGATTCTGCAGTTCCAAATAACTGGACATTCCTCACTTACCTCTTTTTACCCTATCCTCTTTTGAAAAGAAAGGTTTTAGGTAAAAGCAAGGCTACAAAAAATACTATACAACACACTGCTTTTCTGGCCCTCATAATTTCCTCAGCCAACATTTCTAGTGCAGAGTGACATTAGTAGCACTAGTAACAAAGAGAACATAACACAAAGTAATGAACTTTTCCTGGACGATTTCATGTTATAGTATAACTACAGAACTACATGTACAATAACTTAGTTAAAGTCAGATTACTCTGATTAAGTTATATAATTTATGCTCACCATATAGCTGTTGACATTAAAAAGAGAGAGAGAGAGCGCGAGTTAATCAAGGTACTTAATACAGATTTTTCTAGATCAGAACTATCAAGAATTCGGGCACCTAGGAAATCAGGTCACCACACCCGAAGTTCATTTTTCTAATCAATAAGCTTTGCTGCAACCATAATACTGTTCATCTATTTCTAAAAGCCAGAGACCTTGTAAGGAAAAACAAAAGACTGCTGCAGGATTCTAGCACCTACTGCAGAGACCTCGTATCAGCTAGAGGAAGACTGTACAGAGTCCAACACAAATATATTAAACATATTCAGAAACTTCTCTGTAGTAGAATAGCAGCAGCTATATTTCCTTTTGGCATGCCTTTTTTTTTTTTTTTTTGCTTAAAAACACAAACATGAAAAGCCTCTTGTCAACACCTACTACTGTTTTAACTACAGATTAAGTGCAGACTTGCTGCAGTTCCTGCATGCAATGATATACGGAAAACCGGACTTTCAGCCCGAGCACTACAGGACACTTCATATAACTTGTTGGTTTTTTTTAATAATAGAAGCCTGAATAGACAAAAATAAAAAATAATCATAATGAAAACTTTAGAAATTAATATAGATAGCACATATATAAAGATACTAAACTTACATATGATTGGATCTCCTTCCCCTGTTTGTTTTCTTTCCTATAACAGGAGTCCCAAAATGTTCAGGATTGGTGAGAGGAAGCTGATCTAATGTCTGTTGAAATAAAATATATGGTGTGTATATACATATACGCATACATACACACACATACATATATCCACAAACAAAAAATGTTTGGTAAAAGTTATTCTCAAAAATGTAAACGCTTGTGTAATTTGCTTAAAGTACTTCTTGTCAACGGTGAGATTTTTCTCATTATATCACAATTACAGTACAGACTTGACTGCTTTAATTTTTAAAAGCAGCCACTTTTCCCCTCCCCCAGAAAACTAACTTTCATCCAACACACACACACACCATACAACTCTCTCCCAGAAGTGCTGCTTTTGGACTATCCAAGGGCAAAGAATTAGGATAGCAGAACACCTGATTCCTAAGACACTTTGTCTCTACAGGATGAGCTTTCTACCTCTGTCCTACCAGACTAAACACCCAATCACCTACTTACAGGAAACGAACAAAGGTTCCCTGTAAAATGGATGATCAAGACAACCCAGTAGCAGCAAACAAGACAAATTATGAATTATTAGGAAAAATATGATTAGATACGAGGGAGAAAAAGATTCTAAAACAATTTTAATGAGGGTACTATGCTGGATATTCTAGCAAACAAAAAGAGGCAGAGGGAGAGAAAGAAAGAAAACTTTCTCCAATCAGCAAGAATGCTAAAACATCAACAGAAAGACTTCATGGACCCCCAGTATCTCCTCTCTGTAAGACTGCTGTAACATGTTTAATATTATTATTTCTAAATTTTAAGGCTGCTAGGACATAAAGGCTTTGGTATAGGCACCTCTTGTTCTTTGAAAGAAGGCACATACCTTTCCCCAAATAAACATGTTCCTTCTAATTACAGTTCTCAGTGGCTATTTTCAGGACTCTGGGAATTTTTAAGGTGAGAAACAACAACCAGAATCTCAAAAACATTCTGCATCAAGCAGAACTGAACTCAATAGAGATAATAAAATCAGCTTTTTAAATTTTGAAGTAAATACATGAATATTTATGACTTTTGGACACCATAACAGATTTTAATAACATGAAGAGGTAGAGATGAAATTAAAGCAACATTGGGACAAGACAACTATAATGAGGCATAAGTCTAATAGCAAAAGAAACAGGCGATGCAATTTTCCCTGCTGAGTAGCTATACCAGCATGAGCTAATTACTAGAAACGCAGAACACGCATCTCAGTGTTGGTGACAACAAATTGTGTATCAGTGACTTTCGGCAAGATGTCAAGAACTAGGATGAAAAGAATAATGATTAAAAAAAAGTAGGTGTCATCTGAATATAAGGTTTCTTTGACTCTCACTAAATAATCCGGACGGACTCTCGTTCAACCAAATGGGAACCAGATCAATATATGTAATGATTTTGATTAATATGCGTTCATGAATGTCACTTTTGCAAGCAGAGTTGAAAATTTTTAAATACTAAAGAACAGAAGCAGTCTAATTTTCAAGAGAGCTGAGCACCATTAACAACAAAGAGCTAAACAGAGGAACAATACAATCTTTTATAATTAGAATATATATATTTCAATCTAGATTTAGACTTGTAATTTAGGACCCCTTTAGTTTTATCTAATCCTGACTTACCTATGTCCATTCCAAAAGGTATCTGAACCTTCCTAAGGACGCAGTAAGTAGGCAACATGCTCAATTGACTACAATACATTAAGAATTTCACACAGAGCAGAAAACTTTCTTCAGTAGCTGTCCAATAAGCTAACAAGTTTATGCAAGTCCTTCTATTAGTCCAGATTATTCCACATAATGAGGAATAAACCTCATTCTAAATTTCAACTACTTGAAACTTGCTACAAAATATTTGCCTACTTTAATATCCAAATCCTCTTTAAGACACTAAATTAGTTGCAAAATATTGATAAATGTGTTCAAATTAACTGGTAACAGCAAGTTTGCCTTAAAAAAAAAGTACTGACCTTTCAAGTTGATCAGTTATTACAAATATCTGCAAGTTAAACTTGATAATTTACCTAAAATCTGATAGAATATAGTTATGTTCAAAGATACAAATTAACTTTTATCATGTACTGTACTGAGATTTTTTCCAGTGATTGCTTCCAGATAAATTTTATGTACAGCATAAACAACAGCAACAACATAACTGCCTAGGTGCTATACAGTCTACAGACCATAGACAACATAAAAATGAGAAATATGAATTGCCAATTTTGTTCTTTGACTTGCATGGTTTAGAGAAGCTAATTCATATTTCTTTGTTTAAAAAAAAAAAAGAGAGAGAGAGAGAGAGAGAGAGAGAGAGAGAGAACAAGCATAGACTGCATTTTACATAACCACGATTTTTACTACCATGGATATAAATAACATCCTGAAGACTGATGTACTGAAAATATTGCTTTTTAAAATTTTTTTCTAAATTAAAAGTAATAGTATTAAAACTGTTCAATTACCTCACTTTCAGCAAAATGTCTTTCTCCTTTTAAAAACAGGGAAGATACTGCCACCAGGTAAGAGGAGAGAGAAGAAAAAAAAAAGTGTGTGTGTGTGTGTTTGTTGTTTTTTTTTTTTTTAAATCAGGACATTTAGCAAGCCATTGCTCTGGGTCTCAGAAAGAAATGAGATAATACCTTCCTGTAGACAGTCCTTAAAGTTGTACCTGCATACTACTGCCTATCCAGTCAAGCAGCTGCACAGAGCCTCTAAACACACAAGTTCCTGCCCCATTGTAGCTACTCCATGCTTGCATATATGTTAAATGGAGTCTTAAGTAATCAATAGTTGAGTACATGCAAACTCATGCGTCAGGATACAAAAAGAGAAATGAATGCAAGTTAGAACTGCAAAATAAAATTTACAAGCCCTTTCAACTTTTATAGGAATTCTGGTTTCGGAACAGTTCTATGACCTTCAGAGGGAAGCTATGCTTACTATGGCAAAATATAGATGGATGTCTGAAAAAACAGTTACAGTCTGATGCCATTTGAAAGTTCAGCTTTTATCTCTGCCAATTTCATTTAACAGACCTATAAAATGACAGTGATATCATCTTAAGGTGAATTTTAGTAAGAAGTGGTCAAACTTCAGACAATTATCAAGACCAGCTACAGCGAGAGAAGAACCATGGAGCTTCTGGACTTTGTTACCTCTATTATAACTAGGCTCTGTTGTCCCTACAAACTGAATCAGGTCAATGGGAAACAAGTTCACAATACAGATGGCTCCAGCTACATACTTCAGCCTTTATATTTGAAAACAAACAAACAAAAAAACCTCGGTCCCCAAAGTTCAGTGAGCTTTAAGCGTCTCCTCTTTGGCAGGCAAAGATAAAAAATAAAATTAAAAATAAAATTAGAAAAAGCATAGCTGATATGAAGAACTTGCTGAAACTTCTACACTAATATCTCTTTCACCTCCATTCAGCCCTTCTCTTCTGGCAAGCAACAGTCCTGCTGAGCCTGCTTCAGTCAGTTTCACTAGAATTCAAGGGTGTGGAAGAAAACTAAAAATATGTAACCCTTGGACAAATAGAGGCCAAGATAACAGGATTAAAAGGAAGGATATCAACCAGCAGAAACACCTGGCAAGATCAGAGCTTAGTTTTCAGTCATCTGACTTTAAAATAGTGAACACTATGCTCTAGTTTTAGCATTCGCTAATTAAATAAATACACAAAAAGCAAAAAGGCATAGCGCAATTCTTGACTAGTGCTCATTTGATATGAAAGTGTCTTTTGCCCAGTTTTGAGAATTCTTCATCTGTACACAAAATCCAGTACTACTAATGAACAAAAAACCCGTCGTTTCCTACTGCCGTTCCCTAGTGCACGTTTTCTCACTAAGCAGTATGCAACAATTACTGCAGCATAAAGTATCAATTACAGACACACTTCTCTCACTTGAGAATTTGTTGGAAAAATATCAAGGGCAACAATTGTACCAGGGAATACATAGATTTTGGAGCTGCATCTCAAGTGGTCAATACACAATCAAGTCCTCCTTTGGCTAAGTGAAGTAGAAGGCAGCAGGTTTCTAATTCAGCTTGTGTTAATTAACTCAACTGAGTCTCCTTATATAATGAGGGATTTAAGAGAGTCTATCCTCTTCAAAGGATAAGCTGACTGCAACAAGGGTAAACCTAGGCTACATAACCTAGCTACCTACCTATGGGGTAATCTTGCAGTGCCTTCCCTGTCAGAGGGATTCTTAATCCTGTTCCATAACATGCATATATTCAAAGGAACAGCTTCATCTGGCTGAGACACTTGTGTGGCCAGTGTAGCACATATGGCTTTAGCACACATGACATTTTAATCTAAGGAAACACCCTCAAAACAGTCTACTGAGCAGAAGTACCAAAATGTACTGCATTGAAGCTGCAAGGAGAGAAAAAAGAAGGAAACTTAAGTGTAAATGAAATAAAGATTAAAGTAAATAAATTTCTCACACAAATTTTGAGAGAAAAAGTAATGCACTGACACAAAAAGCAGGGAAGGGAGTAGGAGCATTTTTGAACATGTAAAATGCTGTACCTCTAGGAAAGCAGACAGTCGTATGAAGTTTGTTTTCATACTGAACACTGTTGAGTTATGCGTTAAGAATATCACTTAAGCTTTCTAAAGACAAGTTTATATTAATGACAAAACAGTATCCAGTTAGCAGGACTGGCATACCCTGTGGTTTTACAGGTATTTTTATAGGACAAGCAAAGAAGCTAAGGACACAATGTAGTAATAATACCATGCCCATGTTACAGGTTACACTGATTTTAAAAGGCCATATTAATTAAAAATAAAAAATCTTGTCAAGTTTAGGTAGGAAAAAGTAGCACAAAAAAGTAAATAAACAAAATCACATACAATTTCTTTCAAACAAGATCTTAAAAATTTAAGACAGACAGGGATGCTCCTAAAGCAACCTTCCCCGTGCTTTAGCATGAAAATAGTTTCAAGGAGCCCCAAAGCGGTTATTCCCCTAAACGTTCTAAGCTACTTCTGAACTGGGATGAATGGTATTAGATAATGACTTCTTGAACAGCACTACTTCAGAGCCGTCTTGTCCCTTCGCTAAGTTTTTGATCGAGTCAAAGTAATTTTATTCAGGAGATCATTAACAATGTAAGTAATTAAAGACTTCTCAACAAGTGCTAGGACAATATTAGATAACTTTGCTGGTTAAGTGTGCTAATTCTGAAATTTATGACAACTATTCCTTGAAGTACGGCTTCCATTCAGACCTGCAAAGTCATCATTGCCTGTAAAGATAATTTCAGTACCATTCCATTCACCCTCCTGACAAAGATCATTCTACTCACGCATGCTACAGTCACTTCTTTAAGTACATTATGCAGTCACCAGCTGTGATACTTTTACTAATTCTGCAAGGTGGACGTGCTTTTATGTACCAAATAAGGTTTTCGGTCGCAACTGTCACGTCTCTGCTTCTTCCTTCTCAAGCTCAGAATTTGTGACTGTCGCATCTCCTTTGATTCACAACTGCAACTTCATGCCAGCTGTCCTCAAAATTAATTATGCATCTTACTCTTCCTGCTGCATTAATAACTTCGGCCTTCTCGGAAACACATACATATGCACGCAACATAATTCTATCACTAACTATACCATTTTGTTCATAAGCGTTCTTGTATCTGATCCACCTCTATTTTAATTACCAAAACATTATTTCGAATTCCAATTCTTGTCTTTATACCCCATGTTTCAGAATATTCAGAAGCGTTTTCTGTAATGCTTATCTAGAAGGCCGTATCTAAACCTCATAGCTCTATTTTTTCCTAAAAGGACCACGACTTTGGTCAGAACCTACCAAGCACGTGTTCTCGGCAGTTAGTTTTTTCCTGGTTTTTCAGCATCACTTGATCAGCAACAACCCTTAGCATCTTAAAACAAAAATCTTGCTAGGGTTCTTTCAAGAGCTTATTTTCATCTTCCCATGTCCCAGTTGTTTGCCGAGTAGAGGAATATGTAATTTCTTCAGAACTGATATATCTTCTGTAATAATTTTAAGACTACCAGTACACAGGTAGGAAACGTTATCATTCTACAGTCGACCAGTTCTTCCCAAGGCAGACTGATCTACTGGTACATAGCATCAAAGAGTAAAACCATGTATTTAAAACCTATGGAAATAGAGGTTTGCTTGTGGGCGTGTGGATTAATAGCGTGAATAAGTCTGAAATGTCACATTAGAGAACAGGGAAAACAAACAAGATTTTTGTTTGTTTGAAACAGAAGCTGCGTTTGTTTTTTCGTTTTTTTCCCCAGCAACTGTTAGGAGAGCTACATCCAAAATTAAGGGAAAACAGGTATTGCAATTTTTTGTTTTGAAAGAGAACTTATTTTTTAAGGGAAATACGAGACCATACACTTTGCTTCAGAATATTTAATGATAGCATATTAAATACCTAAGGAGTAGTTGCCAAAGACCTAATGAATTCCTCTGTAATTACCTGGTGTCCCAGTTCAACATTGGGACAGGTACCGTCACAATGATTTCTTATTAAAAAAATAAAAAAAAAAAATGAAAACTGCTTTTGTATCAACTGTACCCAGCATACATGTAACAGCTAACACTTAAGAGTTAATTTCTTCAAGCATTTCAGGGCAGAATTAAATTTCTCTTAGCTTTGTCTTTCAAGCTAGTTTTCTCCTAGCTCTTAAAAACGTTCAAGCGTTAAGCACAATCTTATCCTTCACCTGGCAATGTTACTTTTCTCTAAAGTCTCAGAAGTATAGGCATTATGCACCTGCCTTGCACTGCCCAGTGGTTCAATTGATATCAGCAGAAGGTGGTCCTAGTACTTAAAAGTTCATACTGTATAGGCCTAGTGCAAGCATGGTCCCTGAAATTACTTGCTTTTGCTTTTCTTGCCCACCTGATAGCTGCTAGAAAGCAGATCAGAACACATGAGACTCGAGGCTGGTCCGTAAGAAAGCACGTACATACCCCCTGACTGACTACCTGCCAAAGAGCGATCTGCAGAGCTGCAGAGCAGCTACAGCATGTACTGCTTTCTGTTCAGAAGACAAGCTAAAAAAGTGATATTAATGAAGGGGACAATTATAGTGGGAAAGCATGGAGGCTTCCTATAGCCTGGTGTTCAAAAACTGAAGGTTTTGCTAGGCTACCCATTCACTCCAGCTAAGCAGAGAGCTTAAGTTACTATTTAATCATGTCAAAAAAGGAGGGTGAAATGCAAGTAATCAATTATTGCCAGAACACAGCTGCATAGCATAAACTTTGTCAAGAATAGTTTCTCACTTAAGGTTTTTTCCCTGAGGAAGTAATTTAACAAAAAATATATATATATATTTCCATAGTGGGCTTCGGTTCTGTATGTGTGTGCACACAAATAAATTTGTCTGTGTGATGTATATGCATGCATTGTATAAACAAAAACATTGAAGACACATGCAGCTCAAAAAAAAAAAAAAAAACAAAACACCTCTCACACCATGCTTAAAATTTATCCAAGAAAAATACATGTTAGTAGCCCCTTTTTAAATAATGAGATTTTATGCAAACACATAACTAGTCCTCTTACCTACAGTGTACCAGCTTGCATCTGTTAACTTGTTGATAACTGCTTCCTGGTAAGTTCCATCTGGATTCTTCACTTCTACAACAGTTCCTACCTAAAATACAAAAGCATTTGAGGGCTTCCGAAACAGGCAAAGTTCACACTTTTGTATTTAGCAAACAGAGTTAATTTCTACAAACTGTGTTAAATATACACCATACTTTTCCAGTTTCCATTTAAAGTGTTTGTACCCCTTAAAATTTCTTTCTTTTAAAATAATCCAACTAACTGAGCTGATCCTTTCCTGCCAGCAGGTGGGGAACAAGAACCAATTTGAGTGATGTCATTCTCTTGTATAAGAGCTTGCCCATCAAATCCTCCAGCTGAGTTTTCCAAAGCAACAGTGACTTAAAAAGAGCCAGCCGAAGTTCTTAGCTTTAAGGCTGAAAAGAACAGAGAGGCTTGCATCAGCCTGTATGCTGCATACCTTTTAACGACAGAGGAAAAAAACAACACAAAAAGGAAGAGTATAGCTCTGCCGCATTGCCTTTCATGCTCCAAAATACTATCTGCCCTATGTAATAAAATCAGCCTTCCACCTTTCACTTCCACCTCATATACATCTCTGCATTTACACGTATGCCAAACACCGAACAAGAATGCTTTCCAAATTGTTACCAGAAACGAAATAAAGGTATTACCTTTAAGGGACCCTTTATGTGGTCATCCTGTACTTCCACCGTTGAAGAATCATGTCTAAATGTTACCTAAAAAAAACATAATTCAACTGACAATCACTTGATACAATTGAGCAGCATAAGCACGTGCAGATGTCAGTAGACAGCCTCTTATTCTCATCTTGCAATTAGTCACCATAATCATTCAGCTTGCTGAAACAGTCTTTCATTCAGGTATTTTAGAAACACAGGGAGACAATCTCTCAGTTGCTAATGAAATATTTTAAAATACTTTCAACCTTTTGGAGCAGAACTCTAAAGGAAGTCACAAACAGCAGCTTATCAACAAGTTTAATGTCTCTGCAGTTCTCTTAATGATTTTGTTCTGCTCTAGTGCCAAACGAGAAGAGGAGAAAGTTTAAAAAGCTCTGAGCATAAAAAACCTTTAAGAAACATTTATATTTCGATGCTCTGAAACCAAGTAGTTTTCACACCTACATCTAACCCCGGATCATGGTTTTTTGGCTGTTGCTTTTGATGATTAAAAAGCATTTCCCTCACTCACAGCTGAAAGACCCACACAAAACAGCACAGGGCACTGCTGTCAGTAATGAACCCAAACAGAATTCTGTAGCCTTTCAGTTTGTGTCAGCCTAGCCTAGATGTTGCTAGGAACAGGATGTAAATGTCTAGATTACTATATTTTCAGACTTTCAACGCTAAAATAAGTAAATCCTGTAAGTATTTCTGGGGTATTTTCTTGTGTCACTGATAGGGTCTCTAATCTTATAGGTTCTGTGCTCAGATAAATTTGAATTTCCAGATCACTCTATGATTAACTACTTCAGACACTATTCCAATTTAATTCATTTCACTGAAAACTAACTTCGTCATAATCAAAGTCACAGGATCATCCAATCACTTGCACCTAAAGTTTTAATTCCACTCTGGTTTTAAAAATTTAGGGAAACTCTGAGAGCATTCTGGCATTACCTATCTGTACATTTTATACACGCAAACACACAAAACGATGTGCTAAGGTTCACCAGAGCACACTTGTTTGGCCTAAGGTTTTGATGTTTTTGGTTAAGCATGTACTTGAGATTCAGCTGCCTAATGGTAACTCTAAGCTATAGCAATCCTACTTCAAATACGAGGACTTAGCTCACAAACGTGCCCAAAGCTGGTTTCTCTGTAAAACAACACAGTGACAGCAGAATTTGCTTCAGAACACACTGTTCTCTGTCACCAGTTTTCCTACTGAGCCTCTTCATGAGGACAGTTTAGGGGGTTTTGCAAACCCTGAAAGCAGCTAACAGCTGAGAACACCACCTGTAGCTAGCATTGAAGAGAGCCTATCTTGACTGACTACAAAATAAATGCCCTAAAACGCTTCACTGCTGCTTCTGGAAATAGTAATCTCGTCCATCTTTTGTCAAAACCACGGCATTACACAGTGGAAGCATGTACTTTTTAGAGCCTCATCGTCCTACTAACTGACAGCAAATACTTCCTGTCAGATGGATAGAGGCAAATCATATTTTATGAACTGAAAGCCAGACAAAAGATTCTGGGTAGGAATTAACACAGTCAAGGCCACCATTTGAAATTTAACCTGACAGATACAGATCTTTACTCTTCTCTTCTTTGGAATTTATCCAGAAATCAGAAGTTCATAGCTAGGATGCACAATATCTGACACTAGTGACCACACAGTGGTCCCTATTCACTCAGCTGGAATATCCAGTAAATCAATTCTGACTTACGAGACATCTGTTTTAGTTGACTCGCTCTAATCATCTTTTTCGCTGTAAAATGCGTTTAGGAACTCTATCCAAAACAACGTGCCAGCCACGATGTACTTAGATGAAAGGAGAACACAGTAACTTGCTATTCTGTATTTCAAAATGGGCTTTTTCTTTTAAAGATGCCTTGTGACTTTGCCTCTGTTTCAGGAGAAGATCTTGATAGCAACCCCTTTAGCTTCATAAGTATTTAAAAAAAACCAAAGAAAAGAAAAAAGAAGAACATTAATAGAAATATTCAAACTCCAAATGCAATGTGGCACTACTGGCCTTTCTTGAAGCTGATGGCAGTGATGTCAGTATTTGTCAGTGTGGGTTTTAAAAGTCTATTCTGTCTCAGGTAAAAGATTAAGACATCCAGCAGATCAATTTGTTTAGATTCAGTTGCAATTTCCCTTTTCCTCACCATGCTGAAAAGACCGTCCTGGTAGGCTCTATAAGGTAGATGCTTCAACAGATTCCATTTAATGAAGCCAGACCCTGAAAACAGTTTCTTCTGAAACTTCTGTGAGAGATCTAAATACAAGAAGGTGAGGATGATGGTGCTGGTTGTGTCCCTGGAGACACTATCCAAACAAACTGGCTTAAATACCACTCTGAAAAAAAGGTATAACTGATGCTATTGAGGATGGAGTGGACGACCGTTGTTCTAAGGCCAAAAGCCTGGCTCTTTAGTCACATCTATACTGCCTTCTACACCTTTCAGAAGCCCAGGCAATTCTGTTAGTTCTACTGCTTTCCATAACAATTTGTGTAATGTATCTACATTGTTAATGTAAAATTCTGTAGCATACGCAGAACTTGCCAAAGACTACAAAACTGTGAAATAAGGTATCTGTTGATATCAAAATGAAAAATGCCTTGCACTTGAGTTAAATTGAATAAAGTTATTGAATTATGCTGGTGATGGGGGGAAAAAAATTCTCATGAAGGTGCCCCTCAAAATATTCTAAGAAGTGAAATTTAGCAGAGGAAGAGAGCAGGTAAAAGGAGAAGCAATGAAAGGTATTTCACTTGCCTGAAAATTACCTAACTCTATACCACAAAAAATTTCTTGCCATCCTCCTCCTTTCTCAATAGGGCATCTAAGTTATGAAATTTAAATGGAATCTTCAAGCTAAAATCGATATCAGGAAGCTAACCAACTTTCCTGGCAAGGAAGAGAGAACTAATGCAAAGATGACTGAAGCATAAAAGATGTGGGATTAAACAAGTGGAAGATAAACACAGAGGATAAATGAACAAAACTCCAGACAAAGTGAACCTGATAGTAAGAATCCTGCCAAAAGCTAATACTCAGGAAGTCTCTATGCGCCAGAAAGAACTTTTTGAAAAGCTTTTTTGAGGAAAATCAAGGTGTCGGAGTCATGTTTAGGGAGCATACGTTCTTGGTTGAGGAAAGGCAGAGTAAATAGATTTTTGTTACCACACTCTTAAATACATAAATCACAAGACTCTACAAAGGAGTAACAGTACTGAAGACCTTACTGCCCTAAGTTATGGAGTAACTGATAGCAAAGATAAACACACGCACACACAAGCCCCCCAGGAACTCAGAGCCACAGAGCTTTAGACATAAGACTCCACAAAGCATTCATAGTAAAAATTCTATCCCATTTCATTTCAAGATCTTTTTGCAAACTACTGCAGTGACCTAGCTACAACAAATCCATAAGAAACTACTTCTCAATGGAAAACGCTCTCAAGTGCAAATGGCCATCTAAGGAGGAAGGCTGAAAGTCTTCTGAAGGAGCTGAAAAAAGTTAAGGCTTAATTGATTTAGGCACAACACAATTCCTGTACTTAAATACTTAACAGCTGAAATACAGATACTTAATAGATTAAACTCAATGGTGCTGTTAGACATAACCCAGCTGATGCAGTTAATAGTTATGATTAATGAAATGGAAACACCACTAATTTGCTCTAAAGGCTTTTTAAAAATGTCAGATTTAAGACCTGCATCTTTTCATTGTACTTAATGTTAATCATCAAATAAGCGACAACAGTCCTCCCCATCAGGGCTTTGGAAGATGGCCTGCTCTCTCTCCCTTACATACGCTGCAGGCAAAAATCTGCCACAGCATGACAGTAGGTTCAAGCAATGCATGATCGTTTATAACGGAGGCCTGCGTTTCACAGATCACCTCTACCCACAGTGCATAAGTTGTCAGTTCTCTTTACAGTAGATATAAGAAAAATATTCTCTTACTGTAAGTGTGGCATCTAAGCAGTATATTACCACTCTAATTTCCTCTTCAAAAGAGCTTTTGAACCTGCCCTGTTACGTTTCTGTATGAGGTTGAAAGGCAGAGAAGAAAAATAGTGCCTGCTCCCAGATTAGAAGCTCTTAAGGCAGCACTATCCAAATAGAAATGTAAGGCCATTTTACAGTGTAGACTTACTGTATACAAGTAGAGGTATAAATACATACTTACTTGTAAACAAGCCCCCAAATTGTTCTTTTTATTTTTACTAACAATGCAGTAAACTTCCAAGGGATGTTAAAATATTTATCTTCTATTCACTCTCCACAATTTTTATTTATACTGCATGTGGCTTATATTGACTGAGAGAGTCATTAATTAGTCACCATAAAGATTAGGTAAGGTCTCCTGCTTGCTATTCTATAGGATTTAATATGCTGAGTCTTCACTGGAAGACAGCAGGGTTTCATCTTATTCCCGAAGCATTATGTAGTTGCCACTGCTAAACGGCAGTGCCCTGTGCTCCTTCCCAAAATAACTATCTTAAACCTACTTTGAGGAGCTTTAGCTATTTCCTGATAGCATTCTCCTGTACATAAACCTACATTTGTCATATTTAATCAATTATTTTAAGGTCAGCCTATGGCTTTGAAGGGCACAGATAGGGGATTCAGGCAGATGACAAAGCAGTAAAAGAAACAATGTACTTATTCAACTGCAGGGAGGGGGGAAATGCACAACCTCCACCCCCAAAACAAGCATACTGTTCTTTCAAAGATCGCTCTGCTAGTCTTCAAGGAACAGATAGCCTCTTATTTCTCTTCAGACTAAGAAGTTTCATGTTACGTTATTTTAAACGTCAACGATGTTTTTCATGAAGCGTTAGCAGGAAAATCGCATACCTTGACTTTGACAAGTCTTTTTGCCGTCTTGATCTTGGCTTCACAGAAGGCTCCTCTATACTTGGCACTCACATCAGTGCCCACTGTGAGATAGGGAGGCTCATCAATGGCCTGGAACAAAAAAAGAACACATCTGGTTTTTAATTACTCAAACATTTCCACCCTAGTCCTCAGAAACACAGGACCACTGGCAACATAGCTCTTACTTGTGGCCTTCCTAGCTGTTGACAGATTATTACAAAATAACCCAATAAAATGTAACCTCAAAGCACTACTACCTCTACTCAAAGTTACTACTACGTCTATTACAGTAGTAGCAACACAGACTACAACAGCAAGCTGATGCAATGGCTATCGTAAATACAGTAAACTGAGACCATAGTTGTCTGCAACATGTTGCTGTGTAAGCCTCCAACCTCTGCACCACCTGAAGACATGGCAGGTGGCCAGTTCTGTTGCAATGGAGAAGGCCAACCAAGGGTTCCACCTTCTCTTCTAATTGCCTCAAAATTCAAAGCCTGTCATGAAGATGTTAGGTGTCCCTCCACCCCCCCAAAAAGGAAATAAGAATTTCCATGAAGTAAAACCACGCTGAAGAGACTCTGCTTTTTGTCGTTGTATTTTTGAAGAAAATAAATTATATAGGTGGATGCTTGCCAGAAGACAGGATTGAGGGGTAGAGCGCGTTAGGAGAACAACGGCAGGATGAACGGACAAAGATGATGAAGGGCCCAGAGGAAAAAGTCGTCCTGCAAAAAGTAACACAGGAATAGGTGACACCGGAACAGAGAAAGAGGAAATAAGGGCAGAGAGAAAGCAGTGTTATGGGCGGGGACTGAGGGGAGGGAAATGGGTCCAATTAGTATGCAGGGTGGGTTCATGAAGGCTCTGCTCCTTCAAAGGAGGACGATCGGGGTGTAACCTGGAGAGGTGATTCTGGATATCTGAACTGCCTCACCCTGTTACTTCATCTAAGCTGGCTGAGAAGGGAGGCCAGAGGATGGCAAGTGACCAGAGTGAGCTACGTTTCCAGGAGGTGCAAGCCCCTCTCCACGCAACCCCAAACAACAACCAGAAGGAGAGATCTAAGTCCTTGTCTAAGCCCACGTCGTATTTGTGCACCTCTAGGGATTCAAACACAGCTCACAACAGGCAGTTCTGGCACATCCTTGTTCTCCCTGGAAAGGACACGGAGATAACACAGTCTTCCATACTTCCTATAGCCTCAAACAGTACTCTATGTCTCCCTGAAGTGTTTGCACTCAGTAGCAGAAAAATCCCCCTAGCTGTTTCCAGCTCCAGTGGGACAGAGATACAGGCATGCAGTTATACTCCTGGATTCTTCAATGCATGATTTTTCAGAAATTTAAACCTTGCAAAACTTGGAAAATTGAGGGACATGAGGTGCTACTTGGACAACGTTAATTCTGTATTAATGAAATTTTACCTTGATTCTTTGTTCAAGTCTACCTCTGTCATCTACTCCATAATACTAGAAAAACATTATCAATCTATGCTTGTTAAGACAACCAGTAACAGAAATGCTCTAATGAATCTCTCTCTCCTTCTGCATGCACATATGACTGCATCAGAGAAAAAAGGAGCAATACTATATTCATGAACAGATATCCATACCTATTACAGATTCCATAACAGTAAAATTCAACTGAGATGTAAAAGATCTGTTAATAGTGTTGGCATGCTGACATACACTTCCTTCTTGCTCCCATAACAGTCCAAATGTATTTGCCTTCAAGGCAGGCTGCGAGGCTTTTCCTCTTACTCCAGTTGGAAGGAGGCCGAAACAGGAACTCAAATGATGATAACCTTGATTTTGCTTAGTGCCCTCAGTAGGTCAACTGACCACTTCCTACAATATAGGACTGAAAGGGGAAAAAGCAGTGACAGATGCTCTTGCGCAACCAGTCAGGTTGTGAAAGGTTAAGAATCCTCCTACCTTCCCCAATTCTTCAATAACCAAACTCTCAACGGTTGATAGCCTTTCATGCCCTTCGATTTTCTTAACTTAGATGAAAGTGTGGATTATTGAGATCAGTTTATGAAGAAACACAGATCCCAACTGGGTCGACACAAATACACATAGCTAGATCTCTCCTGTGAATACACACTACAAGACCCAATTGTGTCAGTAGCAACCTATACCTCTCCGTATACCCCAATATATGATATTGAGAACTGGAGTCATAGTATTAATTTTAACTTATGGAAACTAAAGAACACTTCCTTCACTGCTGCTGAATTTTACTTAAAGAAGCATCTGTAGTACTAGGAAGCAAGACAATGTGAAGGTCTAGTCTTTGACTGTTTGGAAGTTTACTACTTTAAATAACACTTAATATTTTCACAGTTCAAAGGCTACAAATAGTTTGATTGTAGAATTGCCTGCTCCTCTATAATTTTAAATTCTTACTGAATCTGTAACTATACACTTTTTAATCACTAATACTAGTGATTAATTTATCACTATCCTGGCTTAAAACAAAGCAAACAAATACAAACCAAAAAAAAAAAAAAAACCGTTCCAAAAGAATACTCACTTGAAGAATGAGCCTCTGTAAAAATAATTTCTGCTACTATCACACAAGCTAATTTCAAGTCCTGACCTAGATCAACTCCAGTTAAGTTCTACAACAGATAAATATTAACTAAATCCAGTGAAAGAAGTTATGATTCTAATGACTGTAATTTCAAAGAGCAACAAACACACGGACCATTTGTTTACCACTGTAGATATGTTTACTAAAGATACAGAACCGGAGCAATTGTTGTTAGGAGAATTTATATCAACAGAATACATTAAAAATTATAAATGATTCATAGTGGTTTTAAAAGTATTCAATAACCATGTGATTTCAATGGATACATTTAAGATAAAACTGCTGGAAAAGTTTATCATTTCACTGAAACACAAATAAGTGATTTGGAAAAAAAAAATACCTAAACTGAAATTTACAAAATACTTCACTCATTCAGACATTTCAGCTGAAAGCAGTAAGTGAAAGCTTAACTAGCAGCATGTGGTCCATTGTAGAGAATGCAAGTAAACATCAGTGATCAAAGCCTGGCATTCATTTCAGATAATTCTTATTGCAACTTTGTTGTTTTCACTAACTGTAAATGAAATTCCACCAAAATTGGATAGATTAAAAGAAGCACACAGCTATTTTTACCTTTCCTGTTATCCCTTTTCTGCTCTGTATTTACTTCATTTACTAAACATCCTTACTCTCAAATTGAATGCATCTTTGCCTATTTAACATATTTTAATGGGGTCTGCTTTTCTTACTTTCTCTGCTTTTCAACACAAGTTACCAAAGATGATATGGTTAAGAACAGAGCCAAAAATCTGAGGACACAATTCAGTACTCTTGGAAAAGGCAATATAAGCACTCTGAAATGACGTTAACATGAAGCATTGCAACCTTCTTTAAGGCAAGGGGAGAGGTGTGTTGTTGGACTACCCTAGGTCAAACGTTTCCAAGTCGCTTACAAAATCATAAAAGACTCAGGCTGGAGACAAGCGCTACTACAGCCCCGTTATGTGTTACTGTTCCCCGATCTCCGGGCTGCAGCCTCAGCCTTCGCTTTATGCTAAAACGCTAGATAATCTGAATTTCCCCTCACCTTTCACACCTGAACACAATCTCACCCGCTTCCTGACCGGCAGATAAGAACTGCCGTCCTGAGAGCCGCTCATTAGGGCGCCAG